GAATTTAGACAAGTCAATTAACCTAACAGTCATGTTTTTGGACTGTGGGAGGAAGCCAGAGTACCCAGAGAGAACCCACACATGCTCAGGGAGAACATGCAAACTCCATGCAGAAAGACCCTGAGCCAGGAATCAAACCTAGAACCTTCTTGCTGCAAGGCAGCAGTGCTACCCACTGCTCCACTGAGAAAGCTTGAAAATAAACCTGTGCCTTTAATTCCTACTATTCAAGTTCTAAACTTTCACTTTCTAAAAGAATATTATGATCAACTGGATCAAATGCAGCACTGAGATCCAACAGGACGAGCACAGATACATTTCCATTATCTGAGGCCATGAGAATATCATTAGTGACTTTCACCAGAGCTGTTTCAGTGCTATGATGAGCTCTAAAGCCAGACTGAAACTCTTCAAAAAGCTCATCGCTGTTTAAGCTTTCTCTGCTCACACACTTGATTAGCAAACCAACCGTCTCTGTCCTGATATTGAAGAAAATTCTTGGTCAGGTTTTGCTGAAAAGGGGCCCATGGTGTATTAAGCTCTATTCTAATTTACATTTAAGTTAGGTTAGAAATCCCTTGAACAGCCAAAATGTTTACCCCTTTATGGATAACTGTGATACAGTCAGTTTAAACACTGAAAGTTGCATATACATTTTTGGAGGTCAGGATTTGAACTGATTTACTCTTTTTATGACTCCTTTTCTGGCCTTACTAATACTACTATCAGTTTGATTTTGAGGATGTCATACATTTTAGACTTATTTATAAAGAAGAGTTTGTTATAGATTCCACTACAAAATCAGCAGCAGTGATGATAACATTAAAGCAAACAGAGTTTGAGTGTCAGAGCTCTGTTTGCTTTAATGTATTTCTGCATACATTTTAAATAAGGCTCTAGAAATTGAATTAGGAGCAGTGAAAAGAAAACGACATTTTGTGCTCTACAAGTTGATTCAGAAAAAAATACCTAGGTGGATCTAATTGAAAATAGTAGTGTTTAAATATTGGATTAATGGAAGTTGATCTACAGAATGAGTTTGGGTGGAAAGGCTGCAAACGTTTTAGACTAATAAGGACTTTTGGATACGAAACAGTAGATTTGTTTATCAGGTTTTAAGACAGAAACAAAACTACGGATATTTACCAAGAGCTTTACAATCACATTTTTACAGACTTCAAAACCTTATTTTGTATTTTTGAAAAATCCAAATTGAAAAGGAATTGATGCTGCAGCTGTGGTTTTGAAATTTATATTAGGTTTATAAAAAGAGCCTTAAATAGTCTGCCAAAGTGGTAGAACTGTGTGCAGTGGGACTGGCACTGGAAAGGTCAGGAAGCGTAAACTCAGAAAATATTATTATCTATGGGGGTTTATCATCATCATTACAGCATTAAAACAGGTAAGACACGTGAATCTAGCACAGGTGGGAATATCTGAAGAAAAGAAGATCGAAAAAAAGGAAAGAAGATCTGATGAGGCAGCAAAGGAAGAAATTAAAGCTGACAATATAAATATGCATTTTAAACTGAATGCACAAGTTTGAAGGAACAACCTAAACATTTTCAGAGAAATGGATAGAAAGCGCAGATAAAACATTTAGCAGCCCTCCATGTCCGTTTCCTAGGAAACAAATGCCACCGGTGCCAAATGCGGAAATGGGCAAAATCCAGTCCATAAGATTTATAAGCAACACATAGGTAAAATATGTTTGTATGCTAATAATTGAAGGAAGGATGAATGAAAAACGAACAGACATTCTTGATAAAAAATCTGCTGCCATCTACCAGGATGATGAAGATGAAATGTGGTCGCACATTTCAGCAAGACAATGAGCCAAAACACACAGCTATGAAAACTCTGCATTGGAAATAAAGAAAATAAAGCAGCTAGAATGGCCCAGCCAATTTCATTTCTCCATACTGGGAGGCGTCTTGAAGCTGTCATTGCCAACAAAGGCTTTTGTACAAAGTATTAAATGCGTTTCAGTAATGGTGTCCAATACTTTTTCCCTGTATCATTCCACTTTATTACACATAACTTAGTTTCTGGAAATCTATGGTTTGACTTCTCTGTATGTGTGAATTGCATGGATTGTTATCTGCTGAAAATGAATAGCACCTCTAGAAATTCATTTACTGAGAAAAATGGTGCCGTGTTCAATACTTATTTTACCGGCTGTTGTCACGATTAAAGGACAACAAAGAGCAACATCCCTGGAACAAAGAAATTAGAAGAGGAGCTTTGACAGAGTGTTTTCAGCACATTACTGAGAGACTTAAATGTGAGTCCAAGGGGACATGACGCCAGTCATGGTGGTTAGAGAGCATGAGCTGTCTGCCACTTGCAGTTAGAAAATGAGCTCTAAGTTCCATGAGTGACAATAACAAGATCTCACATTCAGAAGCTTTGAAGAAAGAAAGGGGAAGGACGTGAAAAAAATCACTGTAACTAATTCATTAGAGGTGGAAATTAAACCCCGACACAACAAGTCAAGGAGGAGGTCCATGCTGCTCTTAGGCCTAGCAACTGACTTGGATCAGGGTCAAGTTTCTGAGCCTGCACTCTCAGAGGACCTGGGCTGGACACCATCTTTAGAAAAAAGCCAGGAGCCCTGCAGCAGGTCATCAGGGCTGCTCAGCCGTTCTGCAGCTATCAAATGGAGCTTCATTTGACAGTGAGGTGGGTTAATTATAATCTCAGCGGATTTTTATCTTTCTGGAACTGGTCTAAAAGGTTTCTTTCAGTACCTTTGAATAACACTGCCCTGTGACCAAATCATGTGCTTCCTTTTACAACTCCTAAGCAAATTGAATTTCACGTTTCAGTTGATCGCCTGGTCAGCTTGAGAACTCATGTGAATATACAGGAAGACTTAAAGCTTTTCTATCAACTGAAGCCCAGAAGTCACACTGCTAGTTTGATGAAGCCACCAGAAAGTCAACCAGAGATAACTGCTGTCTGTTTCCATCAGGGAGAGATTTACCAGGCAAATTTGCAACTATATTATATGCTGTTGAAGATTCTCATTCATCCAGGTCATAGTCATTCAACAGAAGTAAAAAATAAAAAATAAAATAAACAATCCACTGGACTTTCTTTCCAAGTTTGAAGACGTTTCTCCTCCCATCCAGGAAGATTTTTCAATTCAAAACGTCAGGAATAGCTCCAGGCTTTATACAGTAGCCCAACAAAACCTTGTTTTTGATTAAAAACCATCCAAATTGAAACGTCCACCCCTTTGGAATGCCAGAAGGGCTCAGCTTCTTCCTGCTCTCATGGATCTAACTGGAATCCTCTGTAAGACCTGTTCTTGAATGTGATGGTCCCATTTATAGACAAATTAATAATAATAATTTCACTTTTTTAATCTCACAATGGAGAAATTCACTCTGTATATCCTAACCCATCCCCTTGGGGAGCAGTGGGCTGCCACTGTGCGGCGCCCAGGGAGCAATCCATTAACAGTTTGAATGACTAAACTCATCCAAAGTCATTTACAGACCTACAGAAATCAAGTGTAGAGAATTTGCTTTGTTTAGCAGCAGTCATTTGGCCTAAAAAATACTGCAAGATGTTGCCAAACCCAATATAAGATCCTATTTGACATTCCCCTCTCTGTACATAAAAGTGTTTATGTACAGAGAGGGGACCTCCCAAAGATCTGTAGGACTGTTAGAAGATTTCTGTTCGATGTTGATCAGAGTGGAAAACGTTCATGGGGGGGGGGCAGAGAGGTACCAATGTGCACTTGGAGGCTGGGAACTGATAAACGGCAAAAACATCTTATGGTAAATCTCATACTGATCAAAATGAGCCAACAGGATGATGAACAACATCCATATTTTCCAAAAAAATCACACACATATTTGTACATTGTTGCTGTTAGAATTCACTTTTGGTTCTACACAATATATATAATAAGCACAGCACTGCTTTCCCCATCAGAGGAACCAGACGGTTTGCCAGAATCACTTAGATTTTTTGCGTCTGCAAAATTACAATCCACGTCCCCAGAGCCCGTGCAAAAGCAGGCTTGACCAGCTGGTTGCTTGAGGAGTCCCACAAACCAGCCAGGCTCCATAGGACTCCTTCTTCAGCTTGACAGCATTCCTTACTGCCGGTGTCCACAAACCAGGTTCAGGAATAACTGCATTGGCAGCCACAGCAGACCTTCCAGCCAGAGCCGCAGGTAGGCCGCATCGGCAGAGAGGCAGATAACATGGTGGTCCACTTAGGCTTAGTGTCCACCCCACATGGAATCTAGGAGAAGCTCTCCTGGCGGTGCTCAGGGATGCTGAGAAGGCCTGGTCTTCCCTACTGCGGATCGGCCCATGGACTGAAACCGCCCCTGAAGGCAAAGGGATGCCTCCTTGGCTCTCGCTCAGACTCATTCTGCCATGGCAAAATGACAAAATGCCTGTTCCCAGAGAACGTTCCAGCACCCGAGAATCAAGTTGCATGTAACTGCTGCCCATTCTTCTTTGCACTGCTCCTCCATGGTTTACCCTGCAGGAGTTGTTTCTGATTTGTCACCCAGACTCTGTTGGCCTTTGGAGACCCCCCTGAGGGCATTTAAGTCCCTGATAACATCATCCAGGAACTAAAACCCCTCCAGCATGTTGGGGTCAGTCCTAGGAGGGGCCCTGCATGAAGGTTGTCTTTATTTTCTTTATTTTCATTTGTCAGAAAGCAGTTTTTTCCAGAATCTCACCCTAGAAGACATTTAGCAGAGCTTATCTGTTAAGAAGATATATTAATTGCAAACATACCATTATATTTCCCATTTGGTCTAAAAGAAATAAAGAGTTTTTCTTCTCCTGCTTTTCATTAATCACTGCTTACTTCACACAAGACTGACACAAAATTACACCTTTAGTCAAAAACTCTCATATTGAGAGAAACTATGAAAAGAAGAGAGAAAAAACAACATGGACCAAGCCCATCCACCTAGGACCCTCCCCCTGGATGGCCACCCCTGTTAATGAGGGATGGGTCGACAGTGGAGCACAGACAGAGAGACACAGTGTTACACAGCAAGCAGAGCTCTGATCAGCAGAGCAACCAACCCTTTCCCTCCATCCTGTCATCATGAGGTTTGAAGAGATCTTGGATGATATTGGTGGATTTTCCAAATTTCAGTTTTTGCTGTTGTCCATCCTGTGTCTGCCCCGTGCCATCCTCCCCCTCCATTTTCTCCTGCACAACTTCATCTCTGCTACCCCTCCTCATCACTGCTCCCTCGGGATCCTGACGAAGAGGAATGAAAGTTTGTGGTCCTCTGACCCTGAGACTGTGGCCTTTTTTATCCCTTACCAGGATGATGGCTCTTTCAGCTCCTGCAGGGTCTACAGTACCCCACAAACCAGCAACTCCAGTCAAGAGAACAGGACTGTAGTGTGTCCAAATGGATGGACCTATGACAAGTCTCAGTTTAGCTCCACTACTGCCTCTGAGGTAAAATAAGGACTCAAATACTCTTAACACAAACCTCCTGTCTTGCAATGAGAGATAAGTTTGTTTAAATGTTTTAATGGTAGCAGTGGATGCTGTTAATCAATATATATTCAATCTTTAGAAAGTCCTACAGAGTTGTTTTTGCACCACTGCAAAGGAAAAGAACTGACCCCTGCTAAAATAATCCAGTTAGTTGATCATTTACATTGAATTATCTCATGACTCAGACAGAGCTAAACCTAGATTATTGGACATTGCTGTCCTTTAGGGATTTTCATTTCAGTTGTTTCTCAGTTTCTTCAATTTTCCTCTTTCATTTCTGCCACATGGTTGTACTCTACGTGTGTCATTGTCTCCCATTATGCATAGATGGGACCGGCTTGTTTCAGAGAAACAAGCTCAGGGCTCCTAATAATTCAACTTGATGGTATGCTCTTTGTTTTTGATTTTATGCCAGTCGTATGATTTTATTCGACTTTTTAAAGGCCGGTCCGTGAAAATATTGTCTAACATATAGCCGGCGAAGAAAAAAAGGTTGGGGACCGCTGCTCTATAGGTCTTGGTGGCTGGATGTGATTGAATGCCTTTTAAGTTCATTCATGCGTTATTACTGTTGTTGTCTACTGTCTTAGACTATCCTCAGTAGTATTGCTTAGATCCCCCAATGTTAATGTTGTTTAAGTCTTTCACTGTAAGTCAGGAACCAGGTTGAAATCACAGTAGCACCAGGAAGGGCATCCAGTGAAAAGCTCTGCCAAGTCAGTGAGGACGTTGCATTGACTCCTTGTGGTGACCCATGCAGCTGAAAGGACTGCTTACTGTGAGGGCTGGTCCTTTTGCCACCTTCTTTTTTTCACAAATGTTTTATGTTTTTAGTGTCACTACACTGTCACCATTAGAGAACAAAGAAATTCACTCTCTGCATTAAACCCATCCCCTTGGTGGGAAGTGGGCTGCCATTGTGCAGCATGCAGGGAGCAGTGTGGGTTTAAGGGTCTTTGTCTGGGGTTAAGGGACCCAGAGTGGAGGCTGTGGGAGTGGAGCTTGAATTCAGAACCTCTAGATTCCAAGCGCAAACATCTAGGAGTTCTCCATCTTTGGCTCCCTCTTCCTCTGATAATGACCAGGCAGCCAGATCCCCACTGACAGCTATTATGTATGTATTTGAATGCGGTTAATTCATAGTCTACCACAAGCAGTGTCCAAAGTGTTCAAAGATGTCTCTCTGCTTTAACAAACCTAATTTAGATGATGAAAGTTCTCTTAAACCTCTTTCCTACCGAAAAAAAGCAGGTTAAAGGAATAGTACACCCAAACCATGATTAGCCTTCATTTTCTACTCACCCCCATGCTGAACAACACTCTGGAGTACTTTTTTGATATCTCAAATGCATCTGGAGATCTGGGAGGCTTCTTGCTGTCTGCTGACATTCAAATAATGGAGGTCTATGGCGCCCGAGATAGAAAGGTCCATAAAAGTCCACAAAAAACGTGTCAATATTCCTCCATACTGCTCGTCCAATGTATTCCAAGTGTCCTGAGTGGGTAGCGTCCAGAATTTACTCGAAACGAAATAATTTAGAATGTTTTTAGAGCATAAACAGTAGTGTATAGGATTTCCTAAAAGCGCGCGCCTGCGGGTTCACGAGCGTACGGAAACCGCGATAGACCAAACCAGATGAAAGTGCGCATTCAGCTCGGCAAAGAACTCCTGCTCTTCCTCAACCCTGAAGTCCTCAGACATTTTTCTTTCGTTGTTTCTTTCTTTGCACAGGTAAACAGCACATTTCTTCTTCTACGCTTGCATTATCAAGAGCAGACGCTGAATGCGCACTTTCATCTGGTTTGGTCTGCCGCAGTTTCCGTAGACTCGTGAACGCGCTTTTAGGAAATCCTATAAACTACTGTTTATGCTCTAAAAACATTCTAAATGACTTCGTTTCGAGTAAATTCTGGATGCTACCCACTCAGGACACTTGGAATACATTGGACGAGCAGTATGGAGGAATATTGACACGTTTTTTGTGGACTTTTATGGACCTTTCTGCCTCGGTCACCATAGACCTCCATTATTTGAATGTCAGCAGACAGCAAGAAGCCTCCCAGATCTCCAGATGCATTTGAGATATCAAAAAAGTACTCCAGAGTGTTGTTCAGCATGGGGGTGAGTAGAAAATGAAGGCTAATCATGTTTTGGGTGTACTATTCCTTTAACGTGTCACTGGTGACACCATCACGCTGGGTTAGTTTTAATGATGTCACCAGTGCGACATAAATCAGGGAAGTAAACAATGGAGAGGAAGCCAGGGCATAGTCAGTGTGTTTTATTGTTTCTCTCTATTATTTGTCTGAATCCTACTCACCAGAGCTGCTCCATGTTTATTGAATGGAAACAAAGTTGTTTCTGTTTGTTAGATCAGAGGTGACCGGAGGAATGTGTTGATATCCTTACTTTGCGTTCAATGGTATCATGTAGTTTAGCTGGCCGACCCGCCTCTGGTGTTCCCACAGCATGCTGATCAGAGCCGAGGCGAATTTAACACTAGTCGCTTGCCGAGTCATTCGACCCGGTCACACTGACACTTAGATTAACTTTATGCTCATTTCGTATAGCACTTTTGTAGACATGTGTCAGTGAGCCATTCCCACAGCCACTAAAAGCCAATTGTTTCTGGGTTTAAACAGGTTTTGCGGGAAAGGGTACAATAGAGTGCTTAAGGAGGGAAACACCTAAACCTGCAGAAAAATGTCCTATTAGGAACCAAACCCCTGAAGTGAAGAGAAGTGAAGTGAAGACACCCCTGGTTTAGTCTTAATGTGATTATATAATTCCAGTCAATAATATCAACCAGAAGGATATCACTTACAGTTAATTTGGTTACATTTGGGTTCATAAAATGTCATCATTCAAAAGACTTGGCTTGTCTATAAGGGGTCAGAATCACAACAGATGGAGAAACTCTGCATTGAAATAGAGCAGAGTTCGTCTGCATGTTGGGTGTTTTTTTTATGATGAGTTCAATTCTTCAATAAGAAATGTGATTTGTTTTAGGAGCTTTAATTACATGGGGGTGATGGAAGTGGGAGGGGATGAAATGCCAGGGAGTATGCAAAGGGCAGAAATCAGACACCCTAAAGAAATAAATCCCCCTCTCATAATTTTAGTGGGAATCTGTTTCAACTGCTGATGATTACCAACTGAAAAGTTTGATTACACAATTTAAAGATGTCTACTTTATCGACAGTGGGACCTGGTGTGTAAGGACAAGCAACTGAATCAAGCACTTGCCACCTACTTCTTTCTTGGGGTGATGTTTGGAGCCATTGTCTTTGGACAGCTTTCAGACAAGTAAGTCCTGAAGATTCCCCCCCAAACCACCTCCTTAGAGATGCAACATGAAATGAAGGTCTGAATCCAATCACCTAGACTGTAAGAATTAAGGCATTCATAGAAAACTAATACATATTTGTATTGCATAATTTGAATCTTAATAACACATAAAGCTGACCCTCATGTTCTTAGTCACTTTTTTCCTGCAAGGCTTCCTCTGCATTGTGGAGTTGTAGGAACAGGTTCAAAAGTCAGATGGATACATTCCAAAATAGTGAAAAAACAATCCACTGGACTTTGTTTCCAAGTTTTAAGACATTTCTCCTACCATACAGGAAGCTTGTAATGAGATCCAAGCTTTTAGAGTGGACCAAAAACAAAGTCTTGTTTTGGTTCAGAAAACATGCAAATAGAAACAGACGAACGGGTCCGCCCCTTTAGAGTGGGGGTAGTTTGGCTTCTTTATTACCCTGCAAAGCCCCATACCTGTCTATGTCTCTGAAAGAGGGGTCATCAAAGGGAATTGTTGGCCTGGCTGAATAGACGAGGTCCTCTGTCCCCCTGTAAGGAAGTTGGGGTGGAGATGATAGCAGGAAGGGATCAACTTAATCGCTGCATTGTAGGTTTTTGAAAGCTGAAATCTGAGTCCGCCCCCTCTGTTTAAGGACTATGACTTGCATATTGCACTCTATTGAGGGATACATTTTAATTCAGTTAAATTCAGTTAATATCTATAGTGCCAGTTCACATCATGTCATCTCCAGGCACTTTACAGAATCAGTTCAACCAGATCATCCAGTCAGATTGGTTCGAAGTTTTCTATCTAAGGTAAACCAGCAGATTGCATTGACTCATTGACTCTTCAGCAATCCCTCACACTCACACTCAGCAATCACTTTGTTCCCTAGAGGCAAAAAGTAAAAGTCTCTTCATAAAATACGAATGGGAACCTGATCAGAACATGAAATAAACAGAAATCAAAGCACTCGGTTTAGAAAAATATGCCATTCAATATGAATAGTTATATATTTAAATGGGGATCTAACAGCACTATGTGTTTTTGTCAATAATAACTTTTTACTTAAAACTGCATCCCAGCATAAAATTGCACTTCCATGCTTTTGTCATGTGTTTTTGCATTTAGAAGCAGTTTTTTGTTTGAGTTATGTCAGCTGCCTCTTTTCTAATAAAACTGCATGTGAGTGAAGGAGTGCACACTTGGCGGTACAGTGATGTTCTAAGAACCAAATGTCAGTTACCCAACCTTCCCAGACCACGGATTACCGACACTGGATCCGCATGACCATAGACACACTGGCGATTGTATTAATTCTGCTGGTTTAAACCTGCTGAGGTTCTTGTGATATGGTTGAGGTTTAGAAAAAGAAGCCGTATGCATTCACACTGAGAACAGTTTGTCAAATATTCTTGCTATTACTCTCTCAAACTAACGTGGAATAAATAGGTCTAATTTATGCTGCGCTTTTAGAGTCACTAAATGCCACTAAATGCAAATCATTCAATCACACACACAGTGACACGCTACTCTGGTACTTTCCATTGACAACCATGGAAAGTACCAGTAACCCAACGTCAATTCATACCCTAGTCCTGCACCTAACCCTTACCCTAAGAAAGGAAAGTCTCCAGTTATTGGTCCCCAAGATGTAGCATATTCCTGGGAAATTCAATTCAGTTTATTTTTATAGCTCCAATTCACATCATGTCTTCTCAAGACACTTTAGAGTTCACCAGATCATCCAGTCAGATTGATTCAAACTTTTCTATCCAAGGAAAACCAGCTGATTGCATCGACTCATTGACTCAGCACCCCTCAACTTCAGCAATCCCTCACACTAAGCATGCTTGTAGCAACAGTGGAGAGGAAAAACTCCCTTTGAACAGGAAGAAACCTCCAGCAGAACCAGGCTCAGTGTGAGCGGCCATCTGCTGAGGCCCACTGGGATTCAAGGAGACAGAAGCAGACATAGAAAAAGAAGCATAGATATAAAATGCAACTGTAAACCAGTTCCACAGGCGGCCCCGTCCAGGAAACACACAGCCAGACAGACGAGCTCTGAGCCAGCTCCCATGTCAGAGGACGAAGAGAGCACAACCTAAGCCTATAGCAGCCGGAGAGGAGCCTGATAACTAAAAGCTCTGCCTTCCTTTATTCCTTTATAAATTCTAGGAACCACTACTAAACATGCAGATTGAGAATTAATATGTATCAGATATAATAGATGATAGTTGCCTGTCTTTTCCAAATTGTGTTCTGTCCTGAGTTACAGTTGTTGGAACTGTGTCTTTAACCTCATGGAAAAAAACCTTCCTTTCCTGCATTTAACAGCCTGATCGGCCCGTATAGCGAGTCTTTAGAATAGAATAGAATAGAATAGAATAGAATAGAATAGATCAGAATAGAATAGAATAGAATAGAATAGAACAGAATAGAATAGAAGTGAAGAGAAGAGAAGAGAAGAGAAGCGAAGAGAAGAGAAGAGAAGAGAAGAGAAGAGAAGAGAAGAGAAGAGAAGAGAAGAGAAGAGAAGAGAGGAGAATAATATGCAGCTGTGGACATTTTTACAATAGAGGATATGTGAAAATAGCAGCAACACTAGAGATGTGCAAAACTTTACTGAAGCTATTAGTGAGAACGAGAGGAGTCTCATTTAGAGCTAACGTCATTTGCTGCTGTATTGGACACAGGAAGTGGCTACGTCGAATTAGATCAGTCAGTTTATGCAGTGCAGATTAACACGCCATTTCGGGTCACTTTACAAACACAATAGAATCAAATCATTCAGACAAATCGGTTAAAGCTTTTCTGTCTAAGGAAAACCAACTGACTGCAGTAGACAGTACTTGATATTGTGCCTCTGACTTTGCAACAATCGCTCACAACAAGCATGCATTCAGAGAAAGTGGAGAGGAAAAACTCCCTTTTAACAGGAAGAGGCATTTATTAGAACCAGAACCAGGCCCAGCGTGAGTGTGTTCTGATTCTGTGTCAGCTGTCCTGCCTTCAAACCTTGCTGCATATGTGGAGTTGTTTATGGGCTCATGTCTGGGTTAGGAAGGCATGAAATCTGTAACAGTTAAAATAAGATGATAAAACCTCAACATCTTAGTAAATACCCAAAGAATTTATGGGGAAGGCTGGAAGAGCAAAAGGCTGCTGACAACTGAGCAGCAGGGAAGTTTTTAAGTCGACATCGTCGTGCTGGAAAGGGATGTTGGATTGAATGACAGATTGAAATGTCATACACAGTGGGCATATGGTCTGAAAAACATTAAATCTACGGGTTAAACAAGATGTACTCTGTGGCCACATTCATGCAACTTTAAAGAATCGGTGGGAAATAAAAAAAATCTGCGGCCAACATTTTACCAGGACATTTAAATTAAAACCTGATTGTATTTGGACAGGAATACTGCCCCAAAAATCTGCAGTCAGCAAGAAAGTCTTGCTATAGGTCGCATTTAAAGGGTTTATAACCAAAGCATCAGAAGAGCAGATAAAAAGTGACACAAGTTCCCCTTGATCTGGAATAAGAAGACTTAGATGTGACCTGTTTGTAGAGAAAGCCTCTCCCTGTAAGCAGGAGCTGGTCCTCCACCACAACAGGTCATCGTCAGAGACCTGAAGTAGGTACAGACCAAAAGCATGATTGTCATCAATAAAAACCCAGTCAAAAGCTTTTACATCAAGAAAGACACTTTAATATTTTTCCATCCTGCATGAACTGGGGCCAGGGTGGGGATTGTTTAGTCCTATGACTCGTCTTTTGTATGAATTCAGCTGAGACCATTAATTAAAAAAGCCACCACTCATTAACAGTGTGAGGGCTTTATCATTATTTTCTCATGCATTTTATTTTGTTAAAAAAGGTCATAAATGTGCGATAGAAATAAACAAAACATATGTTTTAAAGGATAACAAAGGAGTAACAAAGTTAATGTAAGGTAATAATGTTTACCTTTACCAAAAGGACCTAAAATCTGATGGAAGCAATGACAACCTGTGTGTTCTTTGGCCTTCTCTGTGTTACAGGTTCGGCCGGAAGTACATGCTCCTGGTAGCTTTAATTGGCTCTACCTTACTTGGAACAACCTCTGCCTTCTCCACATCCTACGTCATGTTTGCCGTTTCCAGAGCGCTCTCCGGCTTTTGCCTCAGTGGACTGTCTATCATTGGATTAGTCCTGGGTAACAGCTCAGTTGCACAGCAATTAAACTCATAAGCATGTCGACACAAGCGTTTAATGTTTCCGGCTAAACTGTACCAAACACAAAAGGATCAGAAGAAATTAAAGAATCAAAACTGCCTATAAAAACATTTATTCTGCTTGTTTTCAAGTACATATTAATAAATAAACACTGACTATTTAAAGAAATTCAGCATGCCATAGTTTGTTTAACAAAAACTGTGATTGCCAAAAGTTTTGGGTCATTGCTTTCATCAAATCTGAGAGAAGAAGGTTTTGACTGCAATTTTGGTAAAACTTTATAATAACGTTAATATTATCATCCATAAATGGTAAAGACACAATTTATTATTGATAAACAGATATTTAGCTAATGCTGGATGATAATTTATAAACAATATCCAACCCTTCATAAAAGGTAAAAAGATCAAATTGCCCTGCCATGTTAGTTCAGCCCTAACCCTAATCTGATTTATTTATATAGCCCTGCCATGTTAGTTCAGCCCTAACCCTAATCTGATTTATTTATATAGCCCTGCCATGTTTGTTCAGCCCTAACCCTAATCTGATTTATTTATATAGCCCTGCCATGTTAGTTCAGCCCTAACCCTAATCTGATTTATTTATATAGCCCTGCCATGTTTGTTCAGCCCTAACCCTAATCTGATTTATTTATATAGCCCTGCCATGTTAGTTCAGCCCTAACCCTAATCTGATTTATTTATATAGCCCTGCCATGTTTGTTCAACCCTAACCCTAATCTGACTGATTGATATAAACCTGCAATGCTAGTTTAGCCTAACCCTAATCTGACTGATTGATATAAACCTGCAATGCTAGTTTAGCCTAACCCTAATCTGACTGATTGATATAAACCTGCAATGCTAGTTTAGCCTAACCCTAATCTGACTGATTGATATAAACCTGCAATGCTAGTTTGGCCCTAACCCTAATCTGACTGATTGATATAAACCTGCAATGCTAGTTTGGCCCTAACCCTAATCTGACTGATTGATATAAACCTGCAATGCTAGTTTAGCCTAACCCTAATCTGACTGATTGATATAAACCTGCAATGCTAGTTTAGCCTAACCCTAATCTGACTGATTGATATAAACCTGCAATGCTAGTTTAGCCTAACCCTAATCTGACTGATTGATATAAACCTGCAATGCTAGTTTAGCCTAACCCTAATCTGACTGATTGATATAAACCTGCAATGCTAGTTTAGCCTAACCCTAATCTGACTGATTGATATAAACCTGCAATGCTAGTTTAGCCTAACCCTAATCTGACTGATTGATATAAACCTGCAATGCTAGTTTAGCCTAACCCTAATCTGACTGATTGATATAAACCTGCAATGCTAGTTTAGCCTAACCCTAATCTGACTGATTGATATAAACCTGCAATGCTAGTTTAGCCTAACCCTAATCTGACTGATTGATATAAACCTGCAATGCTAGTTTAGCCTAACCCTAATCTGACTGATTGATATAAACCTGCAATGCTAGTTTAGCCTAACCCTAATCTGACTGATTGATATAAACCTGCAATGCTAGTTTAGCCTAACCCTAATCTGACTGATTGATATAAACCTGCAATGCTAGTTTAGCCTAACCCTAATCTGACTGATTGATATAAACCTGCAATGCTAGTTTGGCCCTAACCCTAATCTGACTGATTGATATAAACCTGCAATGCTAGTTTGGCCCTAACCCTAATCTGACTGATTGATATAAACCTGCAATGCTAGTTTAGCCTAACCCTAATCTGACTGATTGATATAAACCTGCAATGCTAGTTTAGCCTAACCCTAATCTGACTGATTGATATAAACCTGCAATGCTAGTTTAGCCTAACCCTAATCTGACTGATTGATATAAACCTGCAATGCTAGTTTAGCCTAACCCTAATCTGACTGATTGATATAAACCTGCAATGCTAGTTTAGCCTAACCCTAATCTGACTGATTGATATAAACCTGCAATGCTAGTTTAGCCTAACCCTAATCTGACTGATTGATATAAACCTGCAATGCTAGTTTAGCCTAACCCTAATCTGACTGATTGATATAAACCTGCAATGCTAGTTTAGCCTAACCCTAATCTGACTGATTGATATAAACCTGCAATGCTAGTTTAGCCTAACCCTAATCTGACTGATTGATATAAACCTGCAATGCTAGTTTAGCCTAACCCTAATCTGACTGATTGATATAAACCTGCAATGCTAGTTTAGCCTAACCCTAATCTGACTGATTGATATAAACCTGCAATGCTAGTTTAGCCTAACCCTAATCTGACTGATTGATATAAACCTGCAATGCTAGTTTAGCCTAACCCTAATCTGACTGATTGATATAAACCTGCAATGCTAGTTTAGCCTAACCCTAATCTGACTGATTGATATAAACCTGCAATGCTAGTTTAGCCTAACCCTAATCTGACTGATTGATATAAACCTGCAATGCTAGTTTAGCCTAACCCTAATCTGACTGATTGATATAAACCTGCAATGCTAGTTTAGCCTAACCCTAATCTGACTGATTGATATAAACCTGCAATGCTAGTTTAGCATAACCCTAATCTGACTGATTGATATGAACCTGCCAGGTTAGTTTAGCCTAATGCTAGTTTAGCCTAACCCTAATCTGACTGATTGATATAAACCTGCAATGCTAGTTTGGCCCTAACCCTAATCTGACTGATTGATATAAACCTGCAATGCTAGTTTAGCCTAACCCTAATCTGACTGATTGATATGAACCTGCCAGGTTAGTTTAGCCTCATGCTAGTTTAGCCTAACCCTAATCTGACTGATTGATATAAACCTGCAATGCTAGTTTAGCCTAACCCTAATCTGGCTGATTGATATAAACCTGCAATGCTAGTTTAGCCTAACCCTAATCTGACTGATTGATATAAACCTGCAATGCTAGTTTGGCCCTAACCCTAATCTGACTGATTGATATAAACCTGCAATGCTAGTTTGGCCCTAACCCTAATCTGACTGATTGATATAAACCTGCAATGCTAGTTTAGCCGAACCCTAATCTGACTGATTGATATAAACTTGCAATGCTAGTTTGGCCCTAACCCTAATCTGACTGATTGATATAAACTTGCAATGCTAGTTTGGCCCTAACCCTAATCTGACTGATTGATATGAACCTGCCAGGTTAGTTTAGCCGAACCCTAATCTGACTGATTGATATAAACCTGCAATGCTAGTTTAGCCTAACCCTAATCTGACTGATTGATATAAACCTGCAATGCTAGTTTGGCCCTAACCCTAATCTGACTGATTGATATAAACCTGCAATGCTAGTTTGGCCCTAACCCTAATCTGACTGATTGATATAAACCTGCAGTGCTAGTTTAGCCGAACCCTAATCTGACTGATTGATATAAACCTGCAATGCTAGTTTGGCCCTAACCCTAATCTGACTGATTGATATAAACCTGCAATGCTAGTTTGGCCCTAACCCTAATCTGACTGATGGATATAAACCTGCAATGCTAGTTTGGCCCTAACCCTAATCTGACTGATTGATATAAACCTGCAATGCTAGTTTAGCCGAACCCTAATCTGACTGATTGATATAAACCTGCAATGCTAGTTTGGCCCTAACCCTAATCTGACTGATTGATATAAACCTGCAATGCTAGTTTGGCCCTAACCCTAATCTGACTGATTGATATAAACCTGCAATGCTAGTTTGGCCCTAACCCTAATCTGACTGATTGATATAAACCTGCAATGCTAGTTTAGCCTAACCCTAATCTGACTGATTGATATAAACCTGCAATGCTAGTTTAGCCTAACCCTAATCTGACTGATTGATATAAACCTGCAATGCTAGTTTAGCCTAACCCTAATCTGACTGATTGATATAAACCTGCAATGCTAGTTTAGCCTAACCCTAATCTGACTGATTGATATAAACCTGCAATGCTAGTTTGGCCCTAACCCTAATCTAAATGGTTCACTATAGAAGCATGTTTTATATGCCAGACATTGTTGGACCTTTGCAGCAATGAGCTTTATTAAGGCATGAATGAATGAGTTCCCTTAAACAAACTTCTCAACCTTTCAGATTGAGATTTTATTTAATCTTATGTTTAAGCTAAGACCCAAATACTATATGTTGAACTGAAATTGTAAAGGCATTTCTAAGTCCTGTTTTGTCCAAAATATAGTTGAGTTTTGTTCCCTGTTCATCCTCATTGATGATGACCTTCTGTTTCCTCCCCTGTGGTTGAGAATCAAACTTGGGAGGCATGTAGATCTCTGTAAATATACTAGCAGCAACATTTTTACTCAAATATTACACTTATTTTATTGTTTGTGGTCTTATTTAATAGTCATTAAGAAATGTTTGTCTCTGTCACATGTTTTGTCTCTGAAATGAATAAATATTTATCTACCATCTAAGGTATCGAGTGGATAGATATAAAGCACCGCACCTTTACCGGTACCATCATGAGCCTGTCGTGGAGCGTGGGAAACATGCTCCTGGCCCTAATGGCCTACTTCATACGAGACTGGAGGCACCTCACACTGGCTGTGACTGTGCCCTGCAGTGTAGCCATCGTCTGTTGTTGGTATGTTTTTATACATTCTGTCCTCCTCCATAATGGTTGAAATATGAGTTTCTATATGAAAACAAACAACGATCTTTTTCCCCTCAGGTGGCTGCCAGAGTCTGCTCGCTGGTTGTTGGCTAATGGTAGAACAGAGGAAGCAAAGAAATATTTGGTTCAATGTGCTAAAATTAACAGGACATATCAAAACACGACCAAACTGGACACTGAGGTACAGATAATTGTCTTAGACTCACAGCTATATCAGATTATCTAAGCAAACTCCCTTCTGTTTATGCATAACAACTAATCCGTGTTTTAACATTGGAAGATGTGAAGGACCAAAGGAGACCATGTTAATGCTCCCAAACAGACAGAGCAAAATAGTACAACTACATTCACCAGTTTATTTAAACTATAGAAATTATACAAACTATACATACCCCAAAAATAGATCATTTGAAAAGACTTAACTCCAAGGAAAACAACGATACAGATTTATCACTATCCAACCTCAGACTAATCCCTAAACAAATCAAATACACAACAAAAACAGGGCTAAAACATTGGCAGATCAGACCAGATGGACACATTTGGGAAGAGAAAAGGGAATCATCCACTGACAGACTTAGCGGAAAAAAATAACTAACTCCCAGCTAGCTAATGATGCATTAAGGACTAACAACTATGAATAAAACTGGATGGATGGATGGATGGATGGATGGATGGATGGATGGATGGATGGATGGATGATTAATGATGAATGCATGGGAGATGGATGAATGGATCCAACGGCCTTCAACTTGTATGTTAGATCCAGTTCCAACCAGGTCATTTAAGGAGGTATTCCCTTTGATCTCCTCCTCCATTTTAGATGTGATTAATGTATCTCTGTTGCAGGAATATGAACCAAAGATTTTTAAGGTTGCTGTAATTAAATCTTTGTTTAAGAAACCGTCTCTTGAACCAGATGACTTGGTCAATTATAGACCTATATCCAATCTTCCTTTCTCATCTAAAATCCTTGAGGAAGTAGTTGCCAAACAAGTCTGCAATCACTTACTCCATAATGGACTTGTATCTGCGCTCGTTCTTTTGGATCTCAGTGCTGCATTTGATACAGTTGACCATAATATTCTTTTAGAAAGACTTGAATATTTTGTTGGAATTAAAGGAACAGCACTAGACTGGTTTAAATCTTATCTATCTGATCGATTTCAGTTTGTTCATGTTAATAACAGATCTTCCTCATGCTCAAAGGTTACTGTGGAGTACCACAGGGATCAGTGCTAGGACCAATTCTCTTTACTTTATACATGCTCCCAATCGGTAGAATTATTAGACAGCATGGGATTGATTTCCACTGTTATGCTGATGATACCCAGCTATATCTGTCTCTAAATCCAGATGAAGCTAACCCATTACATAGATTACAGGCATGTCTGAAGACATAAAAACCTGGATGACTCTTAACTTTCTGCTTCTGAATGCAGACAAAACAGAAGTTATAGTCTTGGACCAGAGACTCTGAAAAAGAAGCTGATTAGTCAGTCACTTAATTTGGATGGGATTAAACTGATTTCAGATAATAAAGTAAAAAATCTTGGTGTTGTTTTTGATCAGGACCTGTCATTTAAATCCCATATCAAAGAGGTTTCTAGAATCTCCTTCTTTCTGGCAAATATTGCAAAAATTAGAAATCTCCTGTCCAGGGGTGATGCTGAGAAACTAGTCCATGCATTTGTTACTTCAAGGCTGGACTATTGTAATTCTTTACTATCAGGAAGTCCACAAACTGTAGTTAAAAGCCTTCAGCTGATCCAAAATGCTGCAGCCAGAGTTCTGATGAAAATGAAAAAGAGAGATCATATCTCTCCTATCCTGGCTTCTCTTCATTGGCTTCCTGTTAAATCCAGAATAGAATTTAAAATCCTCCTTCTCACATATAAAGCCTTAAATGGCCAAGCTCCATCTGATATCAGAGATCTGATTGTTCCTTATGTTCCTAACAGAGCACTTCGCTCTCAATCTGCAGGTTTACTAGTGGTTCCTAGAACTTCTAAAAGTAGAATGGGAGGCAGATCTTTTAGTTATCAGGCTCCTCTCCTGTGGAACCAACTACCAGTTTTAGTCCGTGAGGCAGACACCCTGTCTACTTTTAAGGCTAGGCTTAAAACTTTCCTTTTTGATAAAGCTTATAGTTAGAGTGGCTCAGGTTATCCTGAGCTATCTCTATAGTTATGCTGCTATAGGCTTAGACTGCTGGAGGACATAGGGACCCCCATTTCATCATCCTGCTTCATTCTATCTCTATTCTCCCACTCTGCAGAATCTGTTAGTTCAATCTCTAACGTTCTGCTCTCTCTGCTTTTTCTCATAGTAGCTTCATCTGGTCTGTTCCTGTTTGGCTGTGACTCCATCCTGGAGAGAAATATCAGCTGTGCTGCTGCCATCAACACCTTTGTTTCTAGATGTTGGAGCTTGGCCTGTTTTTCAATGTAGTCCTGTTTCTCTGACTGTGACTAACTGGATGTGCTCTCCTCATCCTCTGACATGGGAGCTGGCTCGGAGCTCGTCTGCCTGGCTGTGTGTTTCCTGTGGAGCTGGTTGACAGTTGCCTTTTGTATCTATGCATCTTTTTCTATGTCTACTTCTGTATCCTTGAACCCCAGTCGGCCTCAGCAGATGGCCGCTTACACTGAGCCTGGTTCTGCTGGAGGTTTCTTCCTGTTAAAAGGGAGTATTTCCTCTCCACTGTCGCTACAAGCATGCTTAGTGTGAGGGATTGCTAAAGAATCAATGAGTCAATGCAATCAGCTGGTTTTCCTTAGATAGAAAACTTTAAACCAATCTGACTGGATGATCTGGTTCAAATTTCTCTGTAAAGTGACTTGAGATGACAGGTGAATCCATTCATGCTGAGTCTGGTTCTGGTCCTGATGGAGAATTCTTCCTGTTAAAGGGCACCTTTTCCCCTCCACTGTTACTACATGCATGCTCAGTGTTAGGGATTGCTCCAAAGTCAACAACACTGTGCTAGTGACCGTTAGTGATTGTCTCCTGTTGCCATCTGTTCATCCAGTGAGCGAATCCAGAAGAGTCAACGACTCGATGCAATCAGCTGGTTTATCTTAAACAGAAAAACCTAATCTGACTGGAATTAAAAGGATTGGTTCTGTAAAGTGCCTGAAGATGGCGCTCTTGAAGACTTTATGTTCTGAATATTTCCATTATTCCTCTGTCAGCGACCATCTCTAAAGCTGATCATTTCTCTTTCTCACATTAAACCTTCTTCATCTCCCTTAAAGGCAACCATATTTCTATTTGGGGACATTTCCAGCTCGTAGATAAAAATAAATACATATCATGAAAATTAAAATAGGGAACAGGGACAGTGATGCTTTCATCCATTTTTACATATATATTAATATTTAAACAACAAAAAAACAGGTGGAAAATCCAGGAATGTGCCTTTCTTGTTTCCTTAGATTGATTAAATCAATCAATCGATAGTGTCTATTAGTGCATCTGGTAATTCTGTCTTCTTCCTCTTCTTCCCTCGCCATCTTTTCTTTGTAGCTGAAAGACTTCTGCCTGCTCTGTTTTACTCTTCTAAGTAGATTTTTCTTCTTTCTCTTCAACTGATCTTTTCTCATCAGTGTTCCTATTTTCCTCCGCTCTCATTCAGTCTTCTGATCTTCTTCCTCTCCTCTTCTATCCATCTAACACTGATCTGAAACAGGGACATACTAAAATCAAAATCCCTTCCAAATACATAAAATCTCATCACACATATAATGACTATTACGAGGATGGTGATTATTATTATTATTATTGTTATCTAACCTGATTAAATACTAAAAAGCCTCATCATCATAATATTTGGAGCTAAAACTAAAAGCAAGCTAAAAAAGGAAGATTAAACAGGTCTTCTTCAATCATTCTCAGATCATGCAGATCTTGTCTCATTCAGTTTTCCTTTTACACAGCAAAGACTTTTTTTTTAACCTGGGCACGAACCAAACATTTATCACAATGATCAGCCCAATTCAGATTAAATGAACCGATTAACACCCTCACCATCACACCAGGCAGCTGAGATTGCTTCTGATAACCAACTGCTTCATCTGTTTAAAAGTTCTGCTCCTCATCTACACGCTGCCAATCAGCGACAGCTGTCTTTCTACCGTCATAACAGTCTCCCCTCATTCATAAGATGGTAAAATCTGGGACATTTCCGGGGACAGGCTTAGCCGGGGACAGGTAGTCCCTGGAAATCGGGGACGTTTGGTCCCCATAATCTTCCTACATCTATGAAACTTCTTTGTGTTTTTTTTTTTTTTTTTGCTTGTCATGCTAACTTCTGATTTCCATCCTTTCTGTTGTTCTTTTTATCATCTATCCCTCAACTCTAATGGATTGATACAACAGACTCCAAACTAAGTGCCAGTTTTCTGCTTTAAAAATTTGTTAAATGATTTATTTGTAGTTAAAACATTATTTAGCATGTTGACCTGGTCATAGCCTTACCATAAAGCACACACTGTGCACCTATTGACTCCTAAATGTAGTAAATTACGCACCTGGTTAGGCCTAATCATGCTGCTTTTAGCTTTATAATACATCTGGTAAGGAATTAAATGTAGTTAACTGAAGTCAGTAAATAACCAAGTGACCTAACAGTGGACTGTGTGGCTGTTTCAGGTTTTAAGGAAGGTGACCCTCTCTGAAGTGGCTGAGAAGAACCACACCTACCTGGACTTGGTCAGAACTCCTCAGCTGAGGAAGATCACTCTGTGCTCTGGGCTGTCCTGGTACTAGATCTATTGTAAACATGATTACTGCCTGATGTAGGAACTTCTGGGTGATGTTATATTCACCATGTTTGCAGGTTTGCTGTTTCCTTCCTCTACTATGGGATCAGTTTCAAGATATCAGGATTTGGTGTCAGCATTTACCTCACCCAGTTCATCTATGGCGCAATTGAAGTTCCCGCCAAAGTCCTGACGTTTTTTGTCCTGGATTTCATTGGCCGTCGAAATGGCCAGGCCTGGTTTCTTATTATAACAGGAGCTCTGATTGGGATAAACACTGCCATACCTTTAGGTTCATTCTGCTCTTGTATTGCTCTTTGATGATATTCATAGTAACCATTTGGAGAAATGCCTGTGCATGAAGTAGCTCAGAGCTTGAACTCTCTCTTGCTCTCTTTCCAGAGTACTCTGTGGTTCGTACATGCATTGCTGTGGTGGCCAAAGGTTTCTCTGAGGCGGCCTTCACCACTGCCTTCCTCTACTCAGCCGAACTCTATCCTACTGTACTCAGGTAAACACCTGCTGTCCTAAAATTACACTCATCACCCTAATTTTGAGCATTTGGTTTTCTTACCTCACTATAAGTTCAAAGCCTAAAGATACACTATATTGCCAAAAGTATTTGCTCACCTGCCTTGACTCACATATGAGCTTAAGTGACATCCCGTTCCTAATCCATAGGGTTCAATATGACATCGGTCCACCCTTTGCAGCTAGAACAGCTTCAACTCTTCTGGGAAGGCTGTCCACAAGGTTTAGGAGTGTGTTTATGGGAATTTTTGACCATTCTTCCAGAAGCGCATTTATGAGGTTGCACACTGATGTTGGACGAGAAGGCCTGGCTCTCAGTCTCCGCTCTAATTCATCCCAAAGGTGTTCTATCGGGTTGAGGTCAGGACTCTGTGCAGGCCAGTCAAGTTCATCCACACCAGACTCTGTCATCCATGTCTTTATGGACCTTGCTTTGTGCACTGGTGCACAGTCATGTTGGAAGAGGAAGGGGCCAGCTCCAAACTGTTCCCACAAAGTTGGGAGCATGGAATTGTCCAAAATGTCTTGGTATGCTGAAGCATTCAGAGTTCCTTTCACTGGAACTAAGGGGCCAAGCCCAGCTCCTGAAAAACAACCCCACACCATAATCCCCCCTCCACCAAACTTTACACTTGGCACAATGCAGTCAGACAAGTACCGTTCTCCTGGCAACCGCCAAACCCAGACCCGTCCATCAGATTGCCAGATGGAGAAGCGCGATTCGTCACTCCAGAGAACGCGTCTCCACTGCTCTAGAGTCCAGTGGCGGCGTGCTTTACACCACCGCATCCGACGCTTTGCATTGCACTTGGTGATGTATGGCTTGGATGCAGCTGCTCGACCATGGAAACCCATTCCATGAAGCTCTCTGCGCACTGTTCTTGAGCTAATCTGAAGGCCACATGAAGTTTGGAGGTCTGTAGTGATTGACTCTGCAGAAAGTTGGCGACCTCTTCGCACTATGCGCGTCAGCATCCGCTGACCCCGCTCCGTCAGTTTACGTGGCCTACCACTTCGTGGCTGAGTTGCTGTCGTTCCCAAACACTTCCATTTTCTTATAATACAGCTGACAGTTGACTGTGGAATATTTAGGAGCGAGGAAATTTCACGACTGGATTTGTTGCACAGGTGGCATCCTATCACAGTTCCACGCTGGAATTCACTGAGCTCCTGAGAGCGACCCATTCTTTCACAAATGTTTGTAAAAACAGTCTGCATGCCTAGGTGCTTGAATTTATACACCTGTGGCCATGGAAGTGATTGGAACACCTGATTCCAATAATTTGGATGGGTGAGCAAATACTTTTGGCAATATAGTGTATATATAAAGCATTCACCTTGATGTTACATGCAAATATTTAACATGTAATGATACTGCCCTAACTTTGCCTGTTCTTTGTCTTTTGTTTTGTTTTACAGAAAAAAGTGTTAATCTTTGCGTTTGTTTTTCCACACTTCAGGATAGAAAGTTTGATTTTCTGTTTAAGAACCCAATGTAGGTGCCATAGGATGGACTGCAGCACCCAAGCTTGAGTTTAAGTTATTCTAATTTAATTTCTTTGCTAATCCAACATCTGCTGTTGAGAAGTTCAGTTTATTTCTATAGCACCAATTCACATCACATGTCATCTCAAGGCACTTTATAGTTCACCAGATCATCCAGTCAGATTGATTCAAAGTTTTCTATCCAAGGAAAACCAGCTGATTGCATCGACTCATTGACTCTTCAGCAATCCCTCACACTAAGCATGCTTGTAGCGACAGTGGAGAGGAAAAACTCCCTTTGAACAGGAAGCAACCTCCAGCAGAACCAGGCTCAGTGTGAGCTGCCATCTGCTGAGGCCCACTGGGGTTCAAGGAGACAGAAGCAGACATAGAAAAAGAAGCATAGATATAAAATGCAACTGTAAACCAGTTCCACAGGCGGCCCGTCCAGGAAACACACAGCCAGGCAGACGAGCTCCGAGCCAGCTCCCATGTCAGAGGACGATGAGTCGATTTAATCAACTGGTTTTCCTTAAATAGAAATCTTTGAATCAATCTGCCTGGATGATCTGGTGAACTGCCTTGAGATGACATGTGATGTAAAGTGCTATAGAAATAAACTGCAATGAATTGAAAGGTGAAGCTATTAACAGAAATTAAGAGTGCTAATTTGCCTGTGCAGTAAGTAGTATCATCTTCAACGTTTGCATGCAAAAGGAATAAATTATCTAACAGGTTTGGTCCATCCGATTTAAATGAGGAAACTGGGTGTTCTACCAGGAGTTTGAGAGTGGCTGCGTATTAAAGGATTAAAGGAAAGTGTCAAAATAAATCAACTTGTAACATGCTCAAATATATTCTGTTTGTTCTTTTTATGGGCCAGGCAATGCGGTATAGGCTACACCTCCTGTCTCTGTCGCTTTGGAAGTTCCCTAGCCCCAATGATAATGCTGCTGGATGACGTCTGGCTTCTCCTGCCTCCCGTGATCTTCGCTGGGACTGGGATCATCAGCGGAAGCTTGGTCTTTCTGCTCCCAGAAACTCTCAACATCCATCTGCCAGAAAACATTTTTGATGTTGAGGAGAGAAGGTAAATGCAGAAGGCAAACTATTCAGGAATCTCTGATGGCCAGCTTAGCACAATAAGCTATGAAAAACACCAGGATAGTTACAGAGGAAGGAAAAGAAATGACAGTTTGAACGTAGAGTTCAAAGTGAGTGAAATAAAGACACAGAGGACAGCGTGCTGGTTAAAGGAGAATCATGTGACCGGGCTCATTATCCCTGACTGTTCCTCCCTCCAGGTTAACCCTGAGAAAGAGGTGAGGAAATGAAAAGCAGAGGTAGTGTGTAAAGTAAAGAAAGCTCTGATGTAAAGCTTAAAATATCAGAGAGCCCAAACCCTGAATGACCTTGTTTAAAAAAAAGGATTTAAAAATAAATAGATGGTGATAAAATCTCCCAAATGGGATTTCCCTTCTTAATTTGATTCTACCTTTGGCTGCAGGCACATACCAGGCAGCGCAGCAGGCGGCGGGGAGGAAGAGACTGAGCTGAAGTCATAAAGTAAAGAAGACAGAGCTGCAGGTCGCTCCTCCTCATCAGAACACAGATCCTCCTCATCACTGGACACTTTAACCTCATTGGTGCTTTACGATTTTCATTGGAACTTTTACACCTTTACAGCTAGACTTCTTTACCTTATCATCACTGAAGTGATGCCAGGTGCCAATTACACCACAGTAAAACATTCTGGTTTTACATGCTGGCAGACAGACAGTTGTCCCACTGCAGAATCAAATAAGAAATTATGCATTTTATTATAAGAATCCCCTAATTTTAAATCTTCAATGTCAAAAAGAGTTAATAAATGGTTTGAAAATTGATGAATGTTCCTTACTTGCTGACAGTCAGGGCTGGCCGGGCGATGCAAGTCATAATGTCATAATGTCATTAGAAAGTGTTTATACTGTAGTTATTATTTATTTTCTTCATCTATAATACATAATTTATTCATTATTTAAATTGGATTATGCAAAAAAGCATAGATTTTTTTAATATATTTAAATTAAACTCTTACATTTAGCCATTTGAGCTGAGAGTTGGTGCAGAGGTCATCACAGTGTGTCTGTCTGTTAAAAAAGGAGAGAGCCAAAGGCTCCAGGTGGACGGAGCATCATGGACCAAAATAAAATACTTGATTTGTGCGACTGGTGGATTCAGGTGGTGAGAGGAGCTCTGGCTGAACTAATCGATTAAGATAATTTCCTTCCTTCACACAAAATCCCAGCTCCAGCTTAATGAAAAGGTTCCATCATACAGTAATAAAAAAAATACATTTTTAATTAAACTCGCAGTCGTCATGCTAAAAAAAAAAAAGCATGCAGCACATGTTAGTGCAGTTAGATGGGGCCAGTATACACATGAAAGCAGTCCACTGGAAAACCAGTTAGGAGGACGAGACAAATGTAAGGAAAGGTTCACATGTGATGTAAAAAAAACATTTATATACTGGATGGTCTCAGTAAATGCATTAGCTGGTTTAACAGAGATCTGATTTAAATCTGTTTTCCCCTGTTTCTGTTTCCTTATCCACTGAGTCGGCCAGAGCAGAAAGGCTTAAACTCTCTCAGAACACTCCAGCTGTTCCATTAAACTCTATACTTATCAAATTTTATACACAGTTAACCAACATTTAATTTTGTTTTGTTCTAAAAATGATAATTTATGAACAGAATAACTTTAGATTAAGCTCAATCTTCTGGGCTAGAAAATAACCATGAAATAAATGTGTTCTGTTAGAACATTATGTGGGATTTGAGGATTTATTTGATTCACTTGTAAATGAAAATGAGCCCAATTAGAGCTTTAAACCCCCCAGAGCCGCCCCTCTACCATTCTTTCACATCTGTTTGAATCTGAGGACAGAAAAACCGTCTGAAGTGGGAACAAATAGAAATATACATGAAAAAAAAAAAACCTGGGTTTACATACGTACATGTGGCTGTTTTTGAAATAACAAAAACAGCCACAATCATTATTGATGAAGTTAGCATCTCTCCATGACAGCAGTATGGTTAATAAAAACAAGCAGAAATGTTAATCTGAGGAAACGTTAAAAGAAGCGGAGACTGGAAAGCTCTTCATGGCTGCTGTTCCAGAAATTTTTTTTTTCTGAATACTTCAGAAAGTAAAAGGATTATTCTGTGTGAAGAAAAAAAAATAAAAATGGTATCCTTTGCATGTTGGAAGAACATGTCTGTCATTTTTTGTTATTTTAGTTGAAACACTTATTATAAGACAATATCAGAGGTTAGTGTTTGTGAGAAATATCAATTGTTTTATCAATGATGTTTATTTTCACCAATGTACTCAGCAATGTTTTGGAAGATCTATAGTATTTCCTGTAAGATAAATATAGCACTAAATTAGTTACTTGAGCTGCATTCACCATGAGGCAGTATTGAGTCAGGTATGGAGATGGCTGATATATATGGCAAGTGGTATAGATTTAAATGTGAAAATAAAAAATGAGATCAAGAGAAAAGTCAAATGATATGTTTAGACAATAGGCAGAGTAGGACAGTATGCAAGAAGGTTAGGGCCACTGGATAAAAATAAGAAAAAACTTACTGAGTTTTTCTTTCATTTGAGTTTGATATGGGAAAAAAAGTCTGAATTCTAACCATAATCTCAGAATTCTGAATTAAATCTAGGTGTATGATAGACTGACTGTGTATGGAACTTAGGTGGCACTTTAGGGTGTCAGGTCAGAATACTTTGGAGACGTTCAGGTGCTTGCAGTGAGAAGAGGCAGAGTCCTTTAATCAGCTTTGATTGATTTATCTGCATTTATGAGGTGAATGCTGGTCATCATAGAATATGTGAACAAAATAAAGATGTCATTTTAGTTTGGACTCCTGCTGGAGGTATTTTGGGAAATGAAAGAGCAGGTGGGTTGGCTAAAGAGGAGAAGATATTGATATGCCAGTAAAATTATATCTAAATCTGAAAGCAAACGTATAGTTTGGAGAGAAGAGATGGAAAATAAGGAAAACAGCTCAGTATTAATCAGTACTTTCTCCCTATTGATATTGTGCACATCAGTGGTGTGATCTGTCAGACATAAGCTCCACTCTATAGGTTGATGGTTCAAGACCCGCCTCTGGCTTTTGATAGCGATTACACTAAATTATTTTGGCTGATGAGACTACTTTGCATTGGTTTGCCCTAGTAAAAATATATATTGGGTAAAAACGTTGCCGAATGAGGTCAGTTTGGCCAAACGATTGGTTAAACACAACTTCCAACCCGATTAAAACCAAAAAACTGTGGAAAAACTATTATGTTTGAATAAAAAAGACGAACACCTCTCATTGTGCTCGTCATTGCCCAATTTTCACAAACACTTTCACTGTCTGCTTGAGTTTATTTCACTAAAATGGCAGAAAAACTATGCACCTTAAATGATTGTTCTAAGAAATTTTACACTTTAAAAAAATTACAAAAGATTTTATTTTACACTCCAACCATTAAAAATTTTAAATGAACTTAAAAGGGAAAAACAAGAAAAACAATATAGCAAAAAACCACAGATTGTATTACTAACTGTAGTTCTGCTTTCCACCAGTAGGTGGTGACATCTCATCTCACCATCCCAAGCAGATATATTAGGAAAAAGGGCTTTAGAGGGGTTAAAAACAATTACAATTCCTTTGGTAGAGGGGAAGGGAAACTTATTAAGAGTAAATAAATGGAAAAAGGCAAAACAGGTGAAACGAAGATAAGAAAGGAAGAGGATTATATAAGGTACAAAAATCAGTATTAAATAAAATCATTAATGAGAGAAGCAGAAGGGAAGAAGTAATAATGATTAATAGTGGCTCGTGCCTATTTAAATGACAATTTATATTTAATAGGGAGGAAAAAAAACAATAAATGTGAAGGATGTGGAGAAAAGGACAATGTAGAAGACATACTGATGAACTGTAAAACTTATAAACATGAAAGGGAAAACAGAAGAATGGTTGGAAGGACAGGAAAAGAATGGAGTCTGGGAGGAATGTTGGGAAATGAGCGAAATATAAATGATATTGACAGATACAGGAAAGCATTATTTATTTATCTACAGAATACAAAATAAAATAGATTTTTATGTAAAGTAATGTTGCTACACACTCAGTAGATGGCGCTATGCAGCTTAAAGTTGCTTGCGATCCGCCATAATAGAAAAGAAGAAGAATAAAAAAAAAAAACAAGAAGAAGAAGAAGAAGGAAGAGGAAGCGATGGGCGTCGTGAGGAAGGAAGACAGATATTTCTGTGTTTTTATCGACGGTGAACTGAAGCTTGGTTGGACTTAGAAGGCCGTGTCCTGTTCCTGCTGCTGCGGTCAGAGCTGGTTCCTCTCTGCAGCTGTCGCCGCGGGGTTAGCTCGCTGCTAACGGGGGCAGACCGGAAGAAGTGTTTTCCTGGCCGTGGTTGACAGCGCAGCGGGATGTGGAGGAGAACCCGGCAGGCCTGCTGGCTTCTGCTGTCGGTCTGCTTCCTCAGGGACCTGGTCTCTGCCTGGTTCCAGCAGGACAGCGGGAGACCGCAGACACAGCAGGAGGAGCGGAGCGGCTCCTGGTCCAGCCCGGAGCAGAGCTGCCTCTGCCATGTAAGCTTTGCTTTAAACACCAACTTCTGTCATTTTCTGCCCGCTGTTTGGCTCCATCTACCGTCTCCATGGTTACCGTTATCTTTTGCTTTCTAATAACTGAGTCCGAGCTTTAGCCAGCGGGCTCCTCCGGACCCCTACAGCTGTAGTCTGTGCCCGGGCTGAGCTGATCGTGGTTTGTCCTCATTGGCTGCCCTCGGTCTGCTTCCTGGGAGTTGTAGTTTTTACCTCCCAGGATGTCAGTGCCTTCCTAGGGACGCGGTTCCTTCCAGAACTACAGCTGGGTGTTAGGCTCAGCCCACAGCACCACAGCTGCTCTGCTCTGCTCTGCTCCAACATATGGGAAGAAGGAGAGAAGAAAGATGCTGAGGAGAGTTTGGCTCTTAGTCCCGCTGCTGACATTCAGTGGACTGCTGCAGTCAGAGGTCATTAGTTTCTGCTTCTTCTGGGAACCATTAATCTCATCTTAATGTTTAAAACTCAAACCAGCCTTATTAGCAAATTCTCCATATCTCTGCTTTTCATCTTTTATTTTCATAAATGAAAAGATCAATCATGTAAGTTAATTAAAATGTTTTATTTGTTAGTGTTAACTGATTAAAGTAAATATTATTTTGCAATTCCCTGATAAAGGGACTGGTGGTCAGTCACATATGGTGGGTGGCCTGTTGAGTCGTGGATCAGCTGCTGGGACAGTTTCACCTTAATAGGCACTGTTGTGTTGTGTGTGTGTGTGGGGGGGGCTGACTGTTTCCCTTTAGTAGAAATGGATCTAAATGCTAACAACCTGTTTACATTCATTTTAACTCCAGAGATACGGAGCTGTAGCTCTTTATGCAAATAGGAGTGAGATGCAGCCTGTCTGTAGTGAGCTACGCTAGTGAGCGCTGAGCTTTCACTGCTTTATTCTCTAACAATTAATGCATCAATTTAAAGCTCTTTAATTTGATAATTTCACTGTTTTCTCAGCTGAGTGAATCCCTCCAATATGATTATCTTACTTTGTCATAATTCTAAGTTACTAATATTTGAATATTAGACAGGTAACCATGGGCAACAATCTGCAGGTTTACTAGTGGTTCCTAGAACTTCTAAAAGTAGAATGGGAGGCAGATCTTTTTGGCCTCATTTCCACTACCCTGTTGAAACTGTGCTGAGATCGGTCTGAGCACGGTAACCAAGATAAGTTTAGTGTAAATGGCACAGGCAACTGAACCGGAGCGTGCCCGACGCAACTGAACCGAACCGGAGCGTGTCCGACGCAACTGAACCGACCTTTTTTACCGCAGGTTTTACTGAGCCCCGTTCTCTGACCTCCTTCTGCTGTTTCCAGGTCCAACAGGGAACCAGAGCCGTTCCAGTGGCTTTAGATCAGAGAGGAGGCCTTTCCTGAATGTCTGGTTCTCACGTGAGCCGGTTTGATCACATAGCTTTGGTTTAATGGTGTCAGTGAGGCTGACATGATGTCTCCTGGCGTACGGGTGGAAAGGGCTAGAGAAGGTTCTGAGGTTCTGGTGCGTGGCCCAGTTTTATCTCATGCCTTCTGATTGATTTATGGTTGTACTTCCAGGCGAAAATCCTTTCCCTACCAGCAGAGAAGCATTTGTAGCATTAATAGAATCAGAAGCCAGTTTATTGCCAAGTAGGTTTGCACTTACAAGGAATTTGACTTGGTGTTGAGGGTGCTTTAGTCAGAGTTTATAGCTATATACAATATAAGATTCAATTCAGTTTATTTCTATAGCACCAATTCACAACACATGTCATCTCAAGGTACTTTACAGTTCAACCAGATCATAGAGTGATATTGATTCAGAGTAGTGATGGTTAAAGAAGCATCTTGAAGCCAAACTGTATTGATGCTGCCTTGATACTGTCTGACAGAATACTGACACCTGCTGGACATTTAAAGCCACTACAGGCAGCTGATTGGACAGACTAAACTGAATATATTTGGTGACCTAGAACAATGATATCATTTAAGCTATTGTAGGTTATATTGTATTATTTCATTTCTATGTTTAAATTGAACATATTGTGATATTTTTAGATCTAGTCAATAAATAATGTAAACTTATATCACATGGTGAAAATTTAGGGGGAAATGTGAATGAGGATGCTAATGGTCTAGGATTTGAAATCATAATTTTAAAACAATAAGTACAATAAAAATAGCAAATAAACTAAGAGTAAATTTGAGATGAACTTTAATTCAGATAAGTTGAGTTATAACTGAGAGGAAAAGGATGACACAATGAGAATATAAAAACAGCTGAAACATTCCTATTCCTTTTAGGCTGCTCCAAAATTCTGGATCATTTTAATGATAAATTGCAAAGATAAGGTATTTTTGTAGCAGATGCATCATGTTGACAGATATGTTATTAAACCCAGTTTAGTGAGTCAGTCAGTTAGAAACGACTCCTGGATCGGTCACATGACTTTCTAGAAACGACACGCGCACCGATGCAGTGTTTAGCTCTATGGGCTCCATGCATAAACCCACGCATCACTGTTAATGCAGCCATTACTAATTAAGAGTTTTCTATCTAATGAAAACCAGCTGATTGATAGTGTCCATGTCTCTGGGCCTTGTTGATAAGGCTGCTAGCGGGTGGGAAGACACTGTTCCTGATGGCGTGAGGTTTTGGTCCTGATGGACCGCAGCCTGCTGCCAGAGGGAAGTGACTAATAACCCTGTTTTCATATCTTCTAATTGATTCTTTTAATAAACGTTTGGGGCCAATTTTCCTCTGGCTTGTAGATAATATTTATTAGACTGTTAAATGTGTTTTTTGGAAGAGACACAGATGTTATTGTTGTGAGCTGAAGGAGGGTGAGTATGTGCAGCTCATCTGTCTGCTCTGCTCCAGCTCACAGGGGTTCTAGACGACTGCTTCTGCGACGTGGAAAGCATCGACGTTTTCAACAACTTCAAGATTTATCCTCGCATCACAAAGCTAGCTGAGAGAGACTACTTCAGATACTACAGGGTAAGAGCTGCAGCGCCACGCCGCCTGCTGCTTTTCTCTTCCTGTCCAGCAGCTCGGTGTGCTGGTAGCTCTACATGGAAACAGAGCAGAATGAAAGCTTCCCTTAAAGAGGCAGTTATCCATGTAGGCCTGTGTTTTCCAGGTGAACCTGAAGCGTCACTGTCCTTTCTGGCCTGATGATGAACACTGCTCCATCAAAGACTGCCATGTGGAGCCCTGCCCCGAGGTCAGAGCTGGGAATCATTAGGGGTTGCTTTAAACTCATCTGCTGAGGTTTCTGTTTGGTGCTCACTGTGTGGATGTTGCTTTGCAGAGTAAAGTCCCTATTGGCATCAAGTCTGGAAACTATAACAAGGTAAGAAAAGCTCTAAAACCACATCGTTAAAGCCCAGAGTGGGGGTCAGCAACCCAAAACCGGTGTCCTGTCAGATCAGCATATCTGTAGTCAATATGCATGCGCAAGATGTCAGATTTATGTTTATCCCTTTAGTTTCTACGAAAAATAGACTTTAAAGTACCTCAGTGGGCGTGTATCCCTTTAGTCAAGGTCAGATAACCAAACGCTTCAAACACCATAAATTAAGTCATTACATCGTTTTTTTGTACGTGAATAAAGGGATACACACCCTTTGAAGTATTGACTATGGGTATGCTGGTCTGACGGGTATGCTAACCTGACAGACCACCGGCTCTTTAGTGCAGCCTTGAGGCTCAATGTAGCTTTTTCAAATATAGTGTTTAGGAGAACAAAAGAAAAAAAAATCCAGAAAATCACATTGTCTGATTTTTAAAGAATTTATTTGCAAAATATGGTGGAAAATAAGTATTTGGTCAGTTACAAACAAGCAAGATTTCTGGCTCTCACAGACCTGTAACTTCTTCTGTAAGAGGCTCCTCTGCCCTCCACTCGTTACCTTCATTAATGGCACCTGTTTGAACCCGTTATCAGTATAAAAGACACCTGTCCACAACCTCAAACAGTCACACTCTAAACTCCACCATGGCCAAAACTAGAGAGCTGTCAAAGGACACCCGAAGCAAAATTATAGACCTGCACCAGGCTGGGAAGTCTGAATCTGCAATAGGTAAACAGCTTGGTGTGAAGTAAATCAAATCATTCTTTAAAAATCAGACAATGTGATTTTCTGGATTTTTTTTCTCATTTTGTCTCTCATAGTTGAGGTATATCTATGATGAAAATTACCGGCCTCTCTCATCTTTTTAAGTGGGAGAACTTGCACTATTAGAGGCTGACTAAATACTTTTTTGCCCCACTGTACCTTATTAAAGGCTGTTATTGCAGGCTGCGTTTTCTTAACATATTGCCCCGATAAGGAGGGGAAAGAGGATTCTATTGTTACAGTGCTTTGGAGAGGACTGCATTTTATATCCATAAGGAGGTTTGAAACTACAGGAGTCCTGTTATGCATATTTCCCTTTCTTTCAAATCCTCAAAATAAAAATAACACCAAAAATCTAATCTTTTATTGTATTTCTGTATTTCCATGGAGGTTCAACTTAAATCACCAAATATGGTAGAGCTGGTTAGTCCCATGGTGTCATTTTTTCCCAGATGCACTGCAGGGGAAAAAACATTTAATCATGAATGTTTATTATGTATTTAGGCCTTTTTAATCAATTTGATAATATACACTTAGAGGCCTATATAACACTTTTACATCTTTGCAGATCCACACAGATCTGTTTTTGTTTTTTTTGGTCTCTTTGAACAGTGCTGACCCATAACCTAGAGGAAGGATTGGTTTGGGCCGAAGATATTAATCAGAATAATTGATTATTGAAATAATCGTCAACTAATTTAGTAATGGATTCATCATTATCAGGAATATAGAGAGTGTAAAACAAGCCTTCAGCTGACAGAGCGACCCACTTAGAGCAGGAACTATACCACGATTGTAAAAAATAATTTCCATGTCAATCTGCTCGATCCAGAACTCAAGTGGAAAAGTTTTAGTTTCACCTGGTTTGATTTTGTAAAAAAAAAAATCTTCTTTAAGGAAGCTTTGGCTGTCTGATTATTAATGGATTAATTAATAAACTAATCAACAGATGAATCGATTTGCAAACTAATGGTTAATTGCAGGCCTACATGTGAGCAGCAGATCCAGTTAAGATCAGCCATGAATGAGTCAGACATCTGTCAGTCCGGATGTTCCATTGCTCCCAGTTATTAAACCATGCTGGGGAGTTTGGTTTATCATGGATTCACCTTTACAGGAAGAAAGCTCCATCAGAATCAGATCTCCCGTAAAGCTCTCTTTAGTCTGTTGGAGGATGTGAGGCTGTAATTGTCTGTATTATCTGATGCTAACTATTGCCGCCTCTGTGTATCCAGTACTCCCAGGCAGCCAACACCATGCCGGACGAGGCTGAGTGTGAGCAGGCCAGCAAGCTGGGCGCCATCAACAGCACCCTGAGGTCAGAGCACAGCTTCTCTCCTCCTCCTGCTGTCCGCTGCAGCAGCTCGTTTTCATATAAAGTGCTGGAAGGCAGGTTGAACATGAACCTGCTTGTCCACAGCTGCCTCAAACGGCTCAGTGCTGGGAAATGATCAGCAGCACTACTTCCTGCTCTTCCTGTAGTCGGTTGATGTCAGATGGCAGCTGGTCTGAACTGAGTTTAATGCTGATACCATAAAATCTGACTGCTTAAACACGATGAATAGACTGCAGAATGAAGAGAAACCAGAACCAGACAAACAAGGCGGTAGATCCCACCACCTTGTGCAAATATGCTGTATTTTTAACACCAAACCAAAACACTGCATATTTGCACCATATATATTTAATGCTGTGAACTTCCATATCAATGCATTTCTGCACCGTCTTTCCTCCCACACTGTTTGATCACTGCTGCTCTTAATGGAATGGAAATGTTCTGAAAGCTAAACAAAACCACATGTCATTTTGTACACACTGTGTGTAGAAAATGAAAATAAACATGGTCTAAAGGGCTGTTATCCTCCTGCAGCAGTGTGTCACAGTGAGCTTGTCGCAGGTATTTTTCATTTATGCTCAGATTAGAAGCGTGGTCTGCGCTGTTATTCCCCACCACAACGCAAGAGGAGCAATCAGGCATGGCTTCCATCACATGGCCGACCCAAAAATAAACAGAGATCCTGAACAGTTTAGGAAACTGTTGCTGATTTGATTTTACTGGATGAAGCAGGAAATCTGGTTATGTTTGCAATGTGCTGCCACACACATGCAGACAACCTGGTTTCTGGGTGTAAACCAGTCTGTAAGACCTTCTGTTTTCTATCTGGACCTGCTTTGTAGTGCTGAAGTTTGCTGTTAGCAGCATTTCACGCGGCACATACTCAGTCTTTAGGACGACATTAGATGGTTACAGCTAAGAACAAAAGCTCAGACCATCCTGCTCCTTAATAGTGTAATACAAGCTGCTGCCCCCCCACCCAATGGATTGGTAAACAGTGGTCCCAGTCTGTCCCAGTAACACTCTTGAATCTCCACTATTTTCTGTTCCAGTAACCAGAGCAAAGAGGCGTTTGCTGACTGGGCGAGGCACGATGACGCCCAGGATTACTTCTGTGAGCTAGACGGTAAGGTCTGCTGCTCCTCAGGAACGCCTCCATCGCTGCCCTCACTAGGAAAGAAGAATAAAACAGGAAATGACATCAGCTACTAGAACGTTTCCAGTGGGAGAGTAGAGATCTGTTCAAATTCTTGGGCTGCGTCTTCCAAGGATCCGGTCTACCTAGACTGGATCCTTCCAACTCCGTGAAAATAAGGAGACCGGAAGAGTTTTGGCTGTGAATTCAAACCGGTCCAGCCTTCGGCGGGTTTTACTGCTGTACGCTCTGTCGCTTAGCAACCGTGACAGTTGACACACAAAGCAGGAAAAGAATGAATACCGAACTTTTCAAAGCTGTTTCTTTTTATTTATTTTTTATTATAAAGTGAACAAAGACTACAGTCATGAGAATCCAGAGTGGAATAAAGGTTCCAACCACCGGGAGCAGGAACAAATCAAATCAAATGTAATGATAGAAACCTTAGTCAGTTAAATAACCTGCTGCTGTCATTCTGCACATCTCTGATGTTGCTGCTATTTTCTAATTACTGTAAAAATGTCCATAGCTGCATATTAGTTATTTATTCTCCAGTTTTATATTGTTAAAACACTTTACAGGATTTTATTGTTTATATTTTAACTCTTCACTATAATATTATTCTTATAGATATTTCTTAGGTCCAAATTTGTGTGACCATTTGTTTCAAAAAGATTTTTGCTGCTGTAAACATCCGAATTTCCCCATTGTGAGAAAATAAAGAGATTTTCTATTCTGTTCTATTCTATAAAAGGGGTAGAAAGATATAAGTAAATAAACAATGTATGTATAAAAATATGTCTCTTATAATAACAAATATACTTAATTAAAACAAGCAAATTGTGCAAAATAACAATTAAAAATGAAACTCCTATCAGCTTTATAGTCCCCACTCTGCAGATCTATTAGAATCTGTCCTTAAATTCCAGCCAAACTCATTTACACAGTAACAGATTAAAACCTTTAGATAAATCAAACATTACCGCCACATATCTTACTCTATAACCATTAAAACAACTATTTTCATTCATTTCAGATGGAACTATTCACAGACTTGTATCATATTAAACTGAACTTCCAACTTTCACCACTGTTCGCGCCAACTAACCTTTCCTCTGATCACGGAGCAGCCATTGCTTGGTCTCGCAATGAATCCTGGATAGCGAGGATACATCGGACCCGTCCTTCACATCGAGTCTTGTAATCCGGCCAGACCTCGGCGCCGCGCTATGACATAATCGTCCTTAGAATCTGGCCTTAGGAGGACACAGCCCATAAATTCGAACAGAGCCTAGATATGCTATATGTAGATATGGTTGGACTGAAAACCAGCTGACTGGATCCAGTCAGGATTCCCTCCTCAGCAGGTAGAGGTTACCTGCTCTTCTGCACGTTTTCAATGCTGATTCAGGTCATTGCAGTTCAGCAACTGCCTGGGCCCACTTTGTGGCCCACTGTGGAATGCTTAGTGTGAGGGATTGCTGAAGAGTCAATGAGTCGATGCAGTCAGCTGGTTTTCCTTAGATAGAAAACTTTGAATCAATCTGATTGGATGATCTGGTGAACTGATTCTGTAAAGTGCCTGGAGATGACATGATGTGAATGTGTGCTATAGAAATAAACTTAATAGAATTGAACATTGGGCAGGTCTGTTCTGCAGCAATCCCTCACACTAAGCATGCTTGTAGTGACAGTGGAGAGGAACAACTGCCTTTGAACAGGAAGAAACCTCCAGCAGAACCAGGCTCAGTGTGAGCGGCCATCTGCTGAGGCCGACTGGGGTTCAAGGAGACAGAAGCAGACATAGAAACAGAACATAGAAGCTCTGATCTATAAATAGTTTCTATGTTAGAGACGCTAAACGGCTTCATCAGTGGCTGGCTGGGAAAGGAACAGTTTAGCAGAGGAGCTCTGAGCCAGTTAAAGAGGGAAGAAATGGAGCACAAAGCTGAAGCTGAGCTCATTGCTATGTCTAGGAGAGAAACAGGACTAAACTATGAAAAACATCTTGACGTCAGCTGGCCAGCTGATGCCTTCCTCCAGGATGGAGTCATCGTCAAACAGAACCAGTGTGTCTCAATGAGCCAGCTTTTCATTTCTTTGTTTCTCCAGTATTCTAGCTGCGGTGTTGCCTTCTTAGACGAGCCTTTCTGGTAAAAACAGGTTTCATGTCAACAGGACTTATCTGGTTAAAAGGTTAAATAGGCTTCTGCATTCATCAGTCACCATGTAAACTGGTAAGTGGGTGAGAGTGGAGCCAGCAGCAGACAGATGTACAGGTGCTGGTCATAAAATTAGAATATCATGAAAAAGTAGATTGATTTCAGTAATTCCATTTAAAAAGTGAAACTTGTATATTATATTCATACATTACATACAAACTCATATATTTCAGATGTTTATTTTGTTTCATTTTGATGATTACAAATGACAACAAATGAAAATCTCAAATTCATCATATCAGAAAATTAGAATATTGTGAAAAGGTTCAAAATTGATGGCCCCTGGTGCCACACTCTAATCAGCTAATTAACTCAAACCACCTGCAAAAGCCTTTAAATGGTCTTTCAGTCTAGTTCTATAGGCTACACAATCATGGGGAAGACTGCTGACTTGACAGTTGTCCAAAAGACGACCATCGACACCTTGCACAAGGAGGGCAAGACACAAAAGGTCATCGCTAAAGAGGCTGGCTGTTCACAGAGCTCAGTGTCCAAGCACATTAATAGAGAGGCGAAGGGAAGGAAAAGATGTGGTCGAAAAAAGTGTACAAGCAAGAGAGATAACCGCACCCTGGAGAGGATTGTGAAACAAAACCCATCCAAAAATGTGGGGGAGATTCACAAAGAGTGGACTGCAGCTGGAGTGAGTGCTTCAAGAACCACCACACACAGACGTATGAAAGACATGGGTTTCTGCTGTCGCATTCCTTGTGTCAAGCCACTCTTGAACCACAGACAGCGTCAGAAGCGTCTTGCCTGGGCTAAAGAGAAACAGGACTGGACTGCTGGTGAGTGGTCCAAAGTCATGTTCTCTGATGAAAGTAAATTTTGCATTTCCTTTGGAAATCAAGGTCCCAGAGTCTGGAGGAAAAGAAGAGAGGCACTTCATCCACGTTGCTTGAAGTCCAGTGTAAAGTTTCCACAGTCAGTGATGGTTTGGGGTGCCATGTCATCTGCTGGTGTTGGTCCATTGTGTTTTCTGAGGTCCAGGGTCAACGCAGCCACATACCAGGAAGTTTTAGAGCACTTCATGCTTCCTGCAGCTGACCAACTTTTTGGAGATGCAGATTTCATTTTCCAACAGGACTTGGCACCTGCACACAGTTCCAAAGCTACCAGTACCTGGTTGAAGGACCATGGTATCCCTGTTCTTAATTGGCCAGCAAACTCTCCTGACCTTAACCCCATAGAAAATCTATGGGGTATTGTGAAGAAGAAGATGCAATACACCAGACCCAACAATTCAGAAGAGCTAAAAGCCACTATTAGAGCAACCTGGGCTATCATAACACCTGATCAGTGCCACAGACTGATGGACTCCATGCCACGCCGCATTGCTGCAGTAATACAGGCCAAAGGAGGCCCAACTAAATACTGAGTGCTGTACATGCTCATACTTTTCATGTTCATACTTTTCAGTTGGCCAACATTTCTATAAATCCTTTGTTTTTATTGGTCTTCAGTAATATTCTAATTTTCTGATATGATGAATTTGAGATTTTCATTTGTTGTCATTTGTAATCATCAAAATTAAACAAAATAAACATCTGAAATATATGAGTTTGTATGTAATGTATGAATATAATATACAAGTTTCACTTTTTAAATGGAATTACTGAAATCAATCTACTTTTTCATGATATTCTAATTTTATGACCAGCACCTGTAGAGCCTGGTAGCTCATGCAGCTTGTTGACTAGAAATGAAAGCTTGTCTCTGCTGTGGAACCACATTAATCTAAGTGTTTGTTTTCTATGTGAAACAGATGAAACCTCTCCAGATGCCGAGTATGTAGATCTGCTGCTGAATCCAGAGCGCTACACTGGCTATAAGGGCGCCTCTGCATGGAGAGTGTGGAACAGCATCTACGAGGAAAACTGCTTCAAGTGAGACAGAGAAACAACTTCACTCTGTTTTACAGAAAAACTCCCGCATCAGACCAACCATTGGAGTGGACAGAACCAGCCGTCTGTCTGCCTGTCTGTCTGCCTGTTTCCCTGCCTGTCTGTCTGTCTGCCTGCCTGTGTGTCTGTCTGTCCGTCCGTTTCTCTTCAAAAGCTGTTTGCTGTCCTGTTGCAGGCCCAGATCAGTGTACCGACCTCTGAACCCTCTGGCTCCCAGTAAAGGTGAGTCAAAGCAACTTCTGACTTTGTCAGATCGTACTGAAACATTTAGTTTGAGAAGATGACTGAAACATTTCCACATCCTTCTGCTCCGCTGACGAGTCGACTGTAAATTAAACACGTCACATCTTTTACGTTGCAAACATAACTAGATTTCCTGCTTCATCCAGTAAGATCAAATCAGCAACAGTTTCCCAAACTGTTCAGGATCTTTTTATTTTTGGGTCGGCCATGTGATGGAGGCCATGCCAGGTTTCGCTTTGTTGAATCCCAAACATTCAGAGAATTTACTGTTGCAACAATCCATGTTGTTTCTGGCAGCCATCTTGGATTCAGTCTTAGTCTTCCGGATGGAAACTATTATTAGTTTTAGTTACATTTTAGTCGTTACAATATGCGATAGTTTAGGTTGGTTTTATTCGAATAAAACTTAAAAAGGTTTTATTCTAGCTTTACTCAGTTTTATGTTGCAAAAGAAAAGTGAACCTTTACAATTTGGAATAAGAACCAGATTCTTTCCCAGACTGACAGCTCTATCCTAGATGCTACAGTAGCTGGGTATAGAATGCTGTTGGACAGAAAACTTTGATTTAGAGAATTCAAATACATTCTTTAATGAATTAATGCCTTACTTTATAAAAAAAACTGTCTCTTAAAAGATGTGAAAATAGTGGATCTAGTTCAGCACAGCGGATAAGCTAACAAAATGCCAAATAAAGGAATGGTTTTAGACATCCAAGGTTTCCATTCCAAAGTAAACTCTTCCTGATCTACTATGAATTATTCATCACACACAATCAATAAAATCTGCATTGCTCCAAAAAAAAGCAAAGAACAAAAACATTCTGCTTTCTGCTTTGGCAGTTTAGGCTTTATTTACCCCTCAGTTACTGCTGCTCAGGGGTCAAAGTAGATTTAAATTCACAGGATTTTGATATAAAATAAAATACAGAGAGAACCTACATCACTGCTTTGTAATGCAGTGGCAAACCAGACCTAAATAGAATGAATATGCTAACAAAAATATTGAAATATTTAAAGGAAACAGCGAAAATCTTGCATCATTTTCAAATAGACCTAAACAAGAACAATGAGAGAGAAATATTCAAAGATCTATGCACCTTTTCATCTGGATCTTTATCCAAAACTGAACAGAATGCAATGAAATATTTGCTTTGGATATACTTTAGGGATTCCTTTTGGTAGAAATTAAGAGTTAAAGCATCACCTCTTGTGAGCTGGAAGAAATAAAATCATTCTGCTTTGGCAGAACATGATCAGCCACATATAGTTTATTCAGCAGCGAGAGCAGGAAGAGCCATACTGCTGAGAGCGAACCATCAGTGTAAAGCACAGACCCTGAGTGAAGAGTATAAAGACACATTCCTGCAAATTCCTTTAAATCAAGACTAAAAACACTTTTGTTTACGATTGCCTTCGACTGTTCTAGTTAAACAGTTCAACCAAAACATATTTTCTTTAGTCCAACTGTTTTTAATATTCTCTTTTGTTTCTGCATTTTTTATTTTATTTTTTTTTTTTTTTCCTACTTACTTTGATTCTGTTTTATCTTCCTGTATTTTAATCATGTAAAGCACTTTGCATTGTCTTTGTACTGAATTGTGCTCTACAAATAAATTTGCCTTGCCTTGCCTTGCACAAACAGCTGGAAGATCAAGAGTTTGTGAGAGTTCATTCCACTGTCACTAGTACAATGGAATGTCCTCTGCATTTAACCCATCGCCTTGGGGAGCAGTGGGCTGCCATTGTGCATTGTCTGTGGGAGTGGGGCTCAGGATTGCAAACTCTATGCCCGAACCACCAGGCCGCCACTCCCCTTGATGTCAGACAGAATCATTGCCGATCCAAGAAGGATAAAAGTAGAGAAGTGGAACTACTCCCATCATTGGTCATTTCATGGTTTACCAGAACATTGGCTGGGCTTTGCAGCAGCTCTCTGTCTCATCATGGAATTAGTATTAGCTCAGATATTAAGTGTGTCGAAAATATGAAAACCAAGAAATCTGAAATGCTGCAGATGATTTAGTTTTTTTTCCATGTGTTTGATTTTAATGGTTTCTCCTTTCTTTTCTCCGCTGCTCTCTTATCAGGGGATGATGATGGTGAGTGAAGCTCAGTCTGCTCCTTAGGACATCCTTTTCATTGCTCTGACTCCAGTTAAACTTTTGGTTTGTGTTCCTGACCACCCAGGGGAAGGCTTCTACAAATGGCTAGAAGGTGAGCTCTTTGTGCCGCTCTGAAAGCTGAAGGAGAACAACCTTCTGGGTTTGTCTCCATGTTCTGTTGGTGCACTTCCTTTCCTCAAGCAACATAAAACCTTCAAAATAAAGACATTAAATATTTTTATTATGTTTTCATTTGCCAAAAAAGCTGTAAAGACCAAATAAAACAGAAAGGTGAGAGTAGTAACTCCTGCTCACAGCTTAGCGTCGGCCTCAGGTCAGGTTGCTCCTGCCGACCCTACGGCGGCCTCGAGGGACGAGTCGGTGAGGTCAGCCTTTGAAGAGGTCGTACCCCATGCTGCTGCTCTCCATGGTCCTGAAGGAGGCTAACTTTCTGTGCTTTGTGATTTAAGCTAAACAGCCTCCTCTTCCAGCTTGGCTGGGATGGATGAACGATGGCCGCTGTTGCTCCATTGCTGGTCTTTTTCACACTGCAAAAAATGTTAATCTAAATAAGTCATTTTTTTCTAAAATAATTGCATTTTTTGAATTCAGGACGTTATTGAGGCACTTTGCCAAAGGAACAATTTACATTTAAACTAAGAAAAAAACATTTGTGTCTTATTTCTAGTTCATATTATCTAATTATCATATTTTAAGAATAAAAACATTCATTCCATTAACAAATCATTTTATTTACCTCCTAAAATTAAGAGTAAATATAATTTCAGACATTTTTTATTATTGCTTGATCTTTTTTGCAGTGAGGTGCTGCAGCCTCCTGCCAGTGAATCGCTGATGCTGTTCAGATCCTTTCTGTTATTGGCCCTTCACATCTTATTGATGGAAACCATCCACTGGGGTGGAGTTATTTTCCTCTGGACTTAAACTACAGTCATGGCCAAAAGTTTGAAGAATGATTCAAATGTTAATATTTACAAAGTCTACTGCTTCAGTTTTTATTACGGCAATTATACCCCAGAATGTTCTAAAGAGTGATCAGCGTAACAGTAATTAATCACAAAGTCAATATTTGCCTTGAAAATGAACTTTATCCCCCAAAGCACATTTCAACGTCATTGCAGCCCTGCCTTAAAGGAGCAGCTAACATGGTTTGAGTGATTGCTCCATTAACACAGGTGTGGGTGGTGATGAGGACAGATCAATCTGTCATCATTAAAGGAATAGTACACCCAAAACATGATTAGCCTTCATTTTCTACTCACCCCCATGCTGAACAACACTCTGGAGTACTTTTTTGATATCTCAAATGCATCTGGAGATCTGGGAGGCTTCTTGCTGTCTGCTGACATTCAAATAATGGAGGTCTATGGCGCCCGAGGCAGAAAGGTCCATAAAAGTCCACAAAAAACGTGTCAATATTCCTCCATACTGCTCGTCCAATGTATTCCAAGTGTCCTGAGTGGGTAGCGTCCAGAATTTACTCGAAACGAAGTCATTTAGAATGTTTTTAGAGCATAAACAGTAGTGTATAGGATTTCCTAAAAGCGCGTTCACGAGTCTACGGAAACCGCAGCAGACCAAACCAGATGAAAGTGCGCATTCAGCTCGGCAAAGAACTCATGCTCTACCTCAACACTGAAGTCCTCAGACATTTTTCTTTCGTTGTTTCTTTCTTTGCACAGGTAAACAGCACATTTCTTCTTCTACGCTTGCATTATCGGCAGAGCAGACCCTGAATGCGCACTTTCATCTGGTTTGGTCTGCCGCGGTTTCCGTAGACTCGTGAACGCGCTTTTAGGAAATCCTATACACTACTGTTTATGCTCTAAAAACATTCTAAATGACTTCGTTTCGAGTAAATTCTGGATGCTACCCACTCAGGACACTTGGAATACATTGGACGAGCAGTATGGAGGAATATTGACACGTTTTTTGTGGACTTTTATGGACCTTTCTTCCTCGGGCGCCATAGACCTCCATTATTTGAATGTCAGCAGACAGCAAGAAGCCTCCCAGATCTCCAGATGCATTTGAGATATCAAAAAAGTACTCCAGAGTGTTGTTCAGCATGGGGGTGAGTAGAAAATGAAGGCTAATCATGTTTTCGGTGTACTATTCCTTTAAGTAACAATGACACCACTGGACACTTTAAATAGAGGCTGGTGCTTGGCATCATTGTTTCTCTTCTGTGAACCATGGTTATCTCTAAAGAAACACGTGCAGTCATCATTGCACTGAGCAAAAATGGCCGAACAGGAAAGAGAATCGCAGCTGGAAAGATTGCACCTCAGTCAACAATCTATGGCATCATGAAGAACTTCAAGGAGAGAGGTTCCATTGTTGCCAAAAAGGCTCCAGGACGCCAAGAAAGACCAGCAAGACGAGGTGAGCGCTACCACCAGTCTGGTCTCATGCCAACTGTAAAGCCTTGAAACCATTCATGTGTGGGGTTGCTTCTCAGCCAAGGGAGTCGGCTCTCTCACAGTCTGACCTAAAAACACAGCCATGAATAAAGAACCAGAATGTCCCCCCAGAGCAGCTTCTCCCAACCATCCAAGAGCAGTTTGGTGATGAACAATGCCTTTTCCAGCATGATTGAGCACCTCGCCATAAAGCAAAGCTGATATCTAACTGGCTCAGGGAACAAAAGAGAGAGATTTTGGGTCCATGGCCTGGAAACTCCCCTGATCTTAATCCCATTGAAAACTTGTGGTCAATCATCAAGAGACGGGTGGACAAACGAAAACCTAGGAATTCTGACCAAATGCAAGCATTGATTGTGCAAGAATGGACGCTATCAGTCAGGATTTGGTCCAGAAGTTGATTGAGAGCATGACAGGGAGAATTGCAGAGGTCCTGAAGAAGAGGGGTTAACACTGCAAATATTGACTTGCTGCATTAACTCATTTTAACTGCCATTAAAAGCTTTTGTTACTCATAATATGATTGCAATTGTATTTCTGTACGTGATGATCTGACATACACACATGAAAACCAGAGGGCAGCAGATCAGGTGAAAATATAATATTTGTGTCATTCTCTTTGGCCATGACTGTAAGGCAGATAATAGCAGGTATGGTTCAGGGGAATAGAGCTGGAAGCATTCTGATTGGCTGCTGAAGGGGCCTTCATCATTCCAGCAGAAATGTTGCGGTCATGGAACATGGAAACAGCGTTCGATTTTAAAATGGGGCTGGAATCAATGAGGTCAATAAAGGTTTGCTCTAATCTAGACTTAAAGGTAAACTAAACAAGGCTTACAAAGTCTCCAAACTAAAGGGTCTGATGTGGGGAGAATGGAAGTGGGGCTGGGCTGGTGTGATGAACCTGCCTCTCTCTGTCTGTGTTCAGGTCTGTGCTTGGAGAAAAGAGTCTTCTACCGACTCATCTCAGGCCTCCACAGCAGCATCAACATCCACCTGTGTGCAGAGTTCTTGCTGGACGGTGAGGAGCGCCACTGATCTGGTCTAAGCAGGATCAATGTGCTGATGCAGAGACGATGTAACTGCTTCCTGTCTGTCCTGGCAGAGGGCTGGGGCCGAACAACATGGGGGCCCAACATTCAGGAGTTCCGCCGCCGCTTCGACACGGCTGAAACGAAGGGTGAGGGCACCCGGCGGCTGAAGAACCTCTACTTCCTGTACCTCATAGAGCTGCGCGCTCTCTACAAGGTGGCGCCGTACTTTGAACGAGCTGTGGTGAACCTGTACACTGGAAACGCTCAGGAGGACGGAGCCACCAAGGAGCTGCTGCTGCAGGTTTTCAATGAGATCAAGTAAGAAGTCATCAGAGGAGGGCGGAGCTTCTCTTCTAGCACATGCCCGCTCTTCAGACGCTAAAGTCGCTGTGCTTGTCTTCCAGAGCTTTCCCAATGCACTTCGATGAAAAGTCTATGTTTGCTGGAAACAAAATGGAGGCCAAGACATTAAAGGTGAGGCTCTTCTGAACAGATGGGGTTCTAGTTTCATCTTTCTCCTGGCACACCTGTACAGTTAGTGGCTGTGAAAGCTCAGAGAATGGATAACACTGCAGAAGCAATTCCAAACAAGTACAAAAGCAATCCACTGGACTTAGTTTGAAGCTTTTTCAATTCCAAATGACAGAAACAGCGTTGAGTTCCAGGTTTTATAGAGTGGACCAACAAAGCCTTGTTTTTGTTTAAAAAACATGCAAGTTGGAACGGATAAAGGGTCCACCCCTTTGGAATGGGGGTCGTTTGGCTTCTTTGTTAGTCTGCAATGCCCCATACCTGTCTATGTCTCTGAAAGGGGGTCGTTAGAGGGAATTGTTGGCCTGGCTGAACAGGCGAGGTCTGCTGCTCTCCTGTAAAGGGGTTAGGGCTGAGATGATAGCGTGAAGGGATTAACTCTATCGCTGCATTATAAGCTGAACTGTAGAAGGAAGGTTCTGGAAGCTTAGAACCAATAACTGACCTCTGATCGTCTGGTTTTGTGTCCCTCAGGAGGAATTCCGGCTCCATTTTAAAAACATCTCGCGGATCATGGACTGTGTGGGCTGCAGTAAGTGTCGGCTGTGGGGGAAGCTGCAGGTCAGTGAGTTTCTCTGCTCTTATACCCATCAGCCCTCTGACTCAGCAGGCTGCTCCTCCTCACCGATCTTTTCAGCTCGTAGCCTAGAGTCCGCTTCTGGACCAAGGAGCTGTTTCTATTCTGTATGTTTCTACCAGGCAGAAGTTCTGTTCCTTTGACCCAAATGTTGTAAAAGAAGTGGTCTGAGTAAATCTGAGGGCAGATGAACCACCTTTACCTGAGAATGTTTGTGTGATCATGTGACCCGCTGATGGTTCTGTCCTGTGTTCAGACCCAGGGTCTAGGCACGGCGCTGAAGATCCTCTTCTCTGAGAAGGAGATCCAGAACCTGCCAGAACACAGCCCTTCCAAGGGCTTCCAGCTCAGCCGGCAGGAAATAGTTGCCTTAATGAACGCCTTCGGCAGGTAGGCTGGTTCCCATGGTAACGGTTCCATTTGATCCCATTCATGTGCCCAAACAAAACAAAACTGTCTCTGTTCTCCAGGTTGTCCACCAGCATTTATCAGCTGCATAACTTCCGCCTGATGTTGAAGGAGAGGAGTTAACAGGAGCTCCGCTCCAGACCGTCACCTCCCCACAATTTTTCCTTTAATCCTCCTTAATCTGCACTTTTCACAGCTGTCCTGCTTTTTCCAGCTCTTTCCCCATTTTCTCTCCTTTTCCTGAACTTTGCCCCTTACTGGGGCAACATGTAGAATCCAACTGAAGGCCCAGGAACCAGGCAGACGGCTCCCCACATCATGGCTGACTTTCTCCTCACAGGAATCAGGAAGCTGGAGAACTCTGCCATCATGTGGAGATCAGAAGGAGGTCTGCGGACCACGGAAAGGTTCTGATCTGATTGGACCTGGAACCTCAGGAAACATCCTGCTGCCTCAGTTATTCAGCTCACATCCAACTCTGAAGGATCTCTGTGATATCCCATAATAATGTTACAGCCGGGCTGTTGCTTTTCCCACTACAGACTTTGACTTTAGATACTTTTTGAACTTTTTATCTGGAGCTAATAAAGCCAGAGCAGGACAGAAGAGACATAGGAGCAGAACCAGGACCCGTTTCCTCAGAAGGACCAATGGAGCAGACGGGACGCTTCCATCGTTTAATGCTGACTATTTTAGAATCTGCTAATGTTGCTAGGGAGGACAGAGCACCATCCCATAGAAGCACTTTGAATGCTCCTCTATGGTGAAAGCAACTTCAAACAAGCAAACCACATAAGGTGATGAGTGTTAGGTCAAAGTTTAACAGGAAACCAGCAGCTTTCAGGAAAAAAGAAATGCTTTCAAAGCTCATCTCTCGGTGGAAGGGAAAGGAAGGATTTCTCCCTTTCTGTCTTCCAGTAGGATTAAGGTCAAAATGGAAACCTGTGAAACTGTCGTGCCTGAAACCTTTTGTGTAATAAAAGAATCCTCAAACATGGTGGCTCATGAGGTTGGTGGCTCTGCTGACTCTGATCCAGGTTGGGAGGATCAGATGTCTGGCTTTTCTTTCGCTTTGATTAAATATTAAAGTCATAGAAATGGCCCTCCTTACTTATCCCCAAAACAGTTTAAAAAAGGTTAACCAAACTCAGAGAAAAAAAAAAAAAAAAGCCTTCGATAGCCATAAGAGGGCAGCAGTGAGGTGGCTGGCGACAGATATTGCAGAACTAAAATGGCCGGTACTTGTAGAGTCCTTCACTCACTCTAATGGTGGTAAGCTAAACTAGCCAGAGCTGCAGCGGGGCACACTGGCAACGCTGCTCTACAGTTAGCAGCACAGAGGACACCTCTGAGATGGATCTGAACCAGCAACCTACCGCTTGGAGGATACAGCTCTGATCATTACATAGCAGGTCCAGGTTATGCCATTTATCTGTAAAAACAGGCTGGTTTTAGGGTGAGGTAATCATCTCAGGGAACGGGAAAAAAATGTTTGGCAACAAAAACATGAATGTCAAACTTCCATCAGCAGCCAGGAAAAATGAGCTGACTCATAAAATCTTCCCTCTTTAAAGAAAAAGTCCAGTCAGCGAGAAATAATCAATGGATCAATATTTATACCTAAAAGTAATATGTTTGCAGTGATTTAATTAATTTAGATTTAAACAGTAAAAAACATTTTTGCCCAAATATAGTAGGCTACCACCTCCTCGCCATCTTCCAGCAGTGACGTCACGCTGCGGTAAGCCTAGCGCCATTCTCACCGCTTTACAAGCTAAATCAATGGGAACTACTAGACACATCTGCAATCAACAACAATTATTGAAGATTTCCAGAGGACTTCACCATTGAAATTCACCAGAGCTATAGTGAAACTGACAATGCCCACGTGCATGGCAGCTGGATGCTGGAATACATCGGGTAAAAGTTAAAAATAAATAAAAAAAAAGGTTATTTCACCTTTTTGATTCTGTAGAAGCAGTTTTATTGTCTTATATCAGAATCAGAATATATCCTACAACATGGCCCTATACTTACTTAGAAACAAAACTTAAAGGTCAGTTTTGAGTCTTAGTAACACCATGGTCTCCAAGGCTGCATGAGGGGGTTTGGTAAAAACAGAGAATAGCTGTATAAACACTCTTTGAGGGTCGGAGTGACTTTGACGCAGACCAGCCCACGTGAATTCCAGTAAGCTTTCGACATGATATTCCTGTGCATGTGCAGTTACGTAATGCGACGTGGAAACTATAAATGCAAGCCTGAATCGACTGAAGGTTGGGGGAATTTTAACAGACGTGACGATGCATTGCTGAATGTATGAAGTTTTTAAGACAGCTGTATGAATTCGGTTTTGTAAATAAATGTTCCCCCCTCCGGATGATGGAATGGTGTGAATCGTTGGCCTTCTTTCTGTCATAAGGGAAATCTACCAATGAGCTTCCAGAATTCCTGATCCTCCACGGACGGGTTTTGTCGTTGGATTGCCAATATGTAGCCAACATTTGGAAGAAGAATGTTTTCAAGATGACTTGGATAATAGCGCGTTGTGACAAACACCAGATACAGCACTGGGACTTGATCAACAGCCGATACCGCACCGTGACGTCACTAACCAGTAGGTGGCAGTAGTGTTCTTTGACAAACATGGATGCCTCCAGTAAAGCACATTCACATGAAAATTACTCTGAATTAAAAACACTGATCATTTATTGAACAGGATGGAATCATTTTATATTTAGTACTTTCAGAAGTTTGAATTCTGAATATGAGCAGACTTTTCCATTAACCAACATGGCCTCACTGACTGCCTTCATACTTTAAACACCAAGCAACATGAAAGATGGGAAACTATCAACAAACTAAAGTGTAAATGTATAGAAAACTGAAGCTGACAATTTTTGGATAGCAGAATCATGATGAGGTCTAAAATCTTTGGTTTCTCTTATTTCTGAAAGTTTTAACACAGAGACGAGCCAGAAGGAAGGTTGTAGTTGTTCCAGCAGAGTGCCTAGGCTGTGAGGCAGTTATGTTTTAATACACCAGGACTGTTTTTGTAACTTTATACTGAATGAGCTTTTATTTAAGCAATTTCCAAAAAGATGAGCGCAAACATTCCAGTACATAAGCAGTATTTTTAAATCAGAACAACCTGATAAACTTTAGGACTTTAAGCCACTCAAACAATAGAGTAAAAACATCACCTCACTAAGGCAAAGATTCTGTCCTAGAATATCTATACATGTTCCAGATGATGGTCAGCAAGGAAGAATGAAGCACTCTAGACCAGTGGTCCCCAACCACCGGGCCGCGGACCGGTACCGGGCCGCACAGAAAAAAAATTATAATTATATATATATACACATTTTATATATATATAAAATTTATCGACGATCAGAGTCTGAGTGATGTTTTATTTTGAAAAATTAAAAGAATTACGGTATTCTCTCCCAGTTACATCAGTCGGTGCATCTGTGCCTCTTGACACAGGTTAATTCAGTTCAAGACTCATCCTATTTATAACATCCTATCTTTGTGAAGCGGGAAAGCTACGGAGCAGACTGGACATCAGGAGCACACTTTGTGTGTCATTTTCTCCGATTAAGCCTAGATGGGACCGGCTTGTTTTATTTTAATGCTGTTTGTATTTGATTTTATGCCAGTCGTATCATTTTACTTGATCGTATCCCCCCCCCCCGGCGGTCCGTGAAAAAATATATATATTTTTTTTTAAACTTTATTTTTGTTTATTTTTAAACATACAAGCACACACAATCAAGAACGAGGGCGAGGGCAAACAGCAGGTAGTCTTGCTGATGAGCATTACAGTTCTACAGATATCACATTGTATATCTTCTTCTAACATAGATAGGTGTCTGTCCAAGTACTGTGGATTCACACAAGTTAACTGTGTTACACACCTTTGGCAATAAAATAATCCCATCTTTCCCAAAGTCTCTCTTCTTTCTCCTTCTTGAGTCGTATTGTAAAAGTCAATATTTCCATATCATGGATCATTTTTATAATATTTACTAGAAGCTTCAGGTTAGGGGGTCTGGGCTGGAGCCAACATTTAGTAATCGCTTTCTTGCTTGCAACCATAAATATCTTCAACAAGTATATATCCTCATTATTAAGTCCCCCAGGAAGTATTCCGAGGTACATAGCAGGAAACGACAAAACCAAGGAAATACCCATAATTTCATAGATTAATTGGTTAACGTCCTCCCAGAAGGTCCTCAACTCCGAACAATCCCAAAACACATGGAAGTAACCTGCTGAGACCACACCGCACCCCCTCCAGCAAGCGGACTGTGAACCACCCAGCCTCGATCTCTGCTTTGGTGTAATAAAAAATCTGATTAGATTTTTCCAGCAGAAATCGCGCCATGTTAAAGAATTTGTGGTGGACAGAGCGTTCCTCCAGACCTGCATCCAAGCCTCAGGAGAAATTAGTACTTCTGCTTCCTTTTCCCATCGTTGTCTGATATTGTTGAGTTCCTGTTCATACATGTTAGATTTCTGTAACATTTGCCGATGATGCCTTTTGTATTTTTGCCGGCATATGAATCCATAAATATTTGTAGTATTCCCGGTTCTGTATCCAAGTCAGGAGTTTTGATTTCTTTCCTAAAGAAACTTCGAACCTGCAAATAGCGATAGAAATCTTCTCTGCCCGAAAATATTTTTTGACGTATAGCGGTCCGTGGTGCAAAAAAGGTTGGGGACCGCTGCTATAGACCATCTGCTTCAGCCCTCGGTAATCCAGAGGTCATCGTCTGTTCCCTGACCAGGACCTTCCCACCCAGGAAATGATTCAGGGTCATACCAAACCTTTTCACCCTTCATATTTTGGGCCTTCTGCTGAATATTGATTGTGAATGACAGTATGTCCTTATTTGTTCTAGAATTGTATTGCTTGAGGTGGAAAGTTAATTTTTTTTTTTACCGGGAGCAGCTCTTTAACATCTCTTAACCTGAAAATTCTTCAACTTATTCAGCAAGTACCAGCTGAGTTGTAAAGGAGGTGCCAGAGGTGCAGAGTTGGAGCCAGGAGACTAGAGAGGAAGAAGAAAGCAATTCAATTTAGTTTATTTCTATGGCGCCAATTCACAACACAAGTCATCTCAAGGTACTTTCCAGTTCACCAGATCATCCAGTCAGATTGATTCAAAGTTTTCTGTCTAAGGAAAACCAGTTGATTGCATCCATTCATTGACTCAAATGCAACCCCTCACATTAAGCATGCTTGTAGCGACAGTGGAGAGGAAAAACTCCCTTTTAACAGGAAGAAACCTCCAGCAGAACCAGGCTCAGTGTGAGCGGCCATATGCTGAGGCCCACTGGGGTTTAAGGAGACAGAAGGAGAGATACAAAAAGCAGCTGTAAAAGGCGGCCCCTACCAGGAAATACACAGCCAGGCCAGAAATAGAAGCCGTCTCTTCCATTGGTCATCATGGGAAATCTTTAGGAAACTAGTTAGAAGAGCTCCAAGCCCTGAAAGGACCCAGCCAGAATATCAGCAAAGCAGCATTATGTGTTTTACTGAAACCTGGCTGCAGGAGCATATCTCTGACTCAGCGTCTCTCTGCCAGGCTTTCTGACCAAATGAGCAGACAGAGATTTAAAGAAGACTGGGAAACTCAAAGGAGGTGGTTGGCAGTGCTTGTCAACAACAGCTGATGTCATCCAGGACATGTTACTGCAAAGATTCATCACTGCAGCCCAGATATTGATCTGTTGGTAGCTGGTTAACAGTCATATTATTTGCCCAGAGAGTTCAGTAGTGTTCTGTTAGTAACCGTCTATATTCCACCTTCTGCTGTTGCCCACTGCATGTGATGCAATCAGTTCTGTTGTTGCTAAGCGACAGACACAACAACCAAATGCATTTCTGACAATAACTGGTGATTTCAATCATGCCTCACTTTCTGCTACACTGCCAATGTTCCAACAGTTTATCAGCTGCTGCACCAGATAAAACAAAACTTTGGACTTGTTTTATGCAGATGTCAAGGACACCTACATCTCTGAAGTAAGACCTCCTCCTGGGAAATTAGATCAGCATCTTGTTTTTCTCTGTTCAGATTATAAACCACTTTATAAGAGAACACCTGCATTAAAAAGAACAGTAAGGAGATGGACACAGGAAGCTGAAGAAGCCCTGCAAGGTTGTTCTGAGGCTACAGACTGGGATGCTCTGTGTCAGCCACATGGAGAGGACATCAAAGCAATGACTGAGTGAGACTGACTACATCAACTCCTGTGTAGAAAACACCATCCCTACCAGAACAGCTTCCCAGATAATAAAGCATGGATCACAGGTGATCTGAAGGAACTGCTCAACAAGAAAAAACAAGCCTTTAAGAAGGAAGACAGAGAATTAATGAGGAGTTTACAGAAGCAACTTAAGGTAAAGATCAGAGAAAGCGTGGAGGCATAGAGGAAGAGG